ATACTACATTATACTTAGCATTATTATTATCATTTTCTTTTGAATTTAAAAGCGATGCCGAGTGTTGAGCTTGTACACAGGAAAAAGTTCATTTTTTACTTCTCTCGCTCTCTCTTTATTCCTGTTTGTTATCCTCGCTTTTGGATGAAATTTATAAAGCTTTAGCTTCCTTTAAGTTTGTTCGACTTATCTCTTATGTTCAACATCTTCTATATTTTATGATTTTCTATAAGGGTCTATAAAACGTTTGTTCCTATAATATTTCTTGATAAATAAAACTTAACAAGATAATGGAATCTCGAGAACTTTTGAAGATTTAGTAGCTGAGTAACTTAAAGTTTCCAAATCAGGAACTTTTAATGGATAAATACTTTAGTATACACTAAAGTTGAATCCAACCCGTTCCAAACCCATGAATACATCCCAAAAACTCACCCCTTCTTTTTCATTCAAGCTGAATTGACTGATATCGCAAAAGCTTTATTCACAGCTCAAGGGGAAATCCTTTAAAATTAATCACTTTCAATTTGGAATTATAAATTTTTCTCTCAATACGAGCATAAGAAGACATGAAGAGAATACATCAAGTTTATCACAAGTTTTCTGTTCGAACATGTTTTTCCTCTTTAACTCACTGTTCATTGTGTAGATTCACATATTCATTTCTAGCTTTTGTTGTTACAATAGCAAAATAAATAAAGTTTATTATTCAAGTTATTGTTTAGAGTTTGAGGTTTGAGAGATGTAAAGTTGCTACAATGTTTATGTTTGGTATATAAAAATTTGAATTTCAATGGTTTGAGGTTGTAATCAGGGATTAAGGGACGGATCAAACCCATGGGCTGGTTTCTATGGCTACCCGAAGGACTTTAAGATAGGAATAAAATTCAGAATTGAGAAAAGAGCAGGAAGCCTCAGGTAGCCCTAGGAATCCAGAGGAACTTTCATGACTGGACTAGCATTCGAACCCGAGATGTCAAATAACAATAAGCAATCCGCCAACAACCAATCTCATCTATTTAACCAACTCTGCTTATTTACTTATTAAATTATAAAGTTTTCAAACAAAACAAGTATCAAAGTTCTTTGACTACTGAGGCATTTGCTTCATCCCGTAAAAATTTGTTTTACATTTACGAAGAGATTACAAAATTTTTCGAAAAACTTTTAAATATACAACAACTCACTTACCCTCTTTACTTCAAAGAATAGTTCGAAGAAATGAAACTTACTCTTCCGTGCGTTCTTTATTATCAAAAAATAACTTTTGTGTAGCTTGTATCTTCTTGAACAAAAAATTATTTTATTTTGGTTTCTCACGCCCTTTTCTTTACTTCTTATTCTTTTTTAAAAAAAAAGTACGAGAAGAACGCCATAAAAAAAACTAGATATTTTGCAAACTGATAAACATAAAATTTATTGGTTTCGTGTGGAAGAAGACAAATCGATATGAAAAAAGAGAAGTAAGAAGAAGGTATAACTTAAAAAATTTTGGCTGCAGCTTTTTTAGAAATGAAAAAAATATTACGGAAGCAAATTTCAATATTCACCTGCTTCGTTTCACATGGGCGACATAAAGTCTACAGACAGTTTTCGAAATGTGGCTGAGTAAAGAATAAGAGGAAGACAAAAAAAAATTGAAAAGTCAAGAAAGAAGACTTTTCATTCTTTTCCCAACAATAAACATGGCAATGAGGACGGTAATAGAAGCTGTAGCAGTAAAGGATGAATAATATGAAAATTGTCATGGGTATAGTAGGTAAAAAGTAGCACATTGTAGTGATGAAGAAAAATTAACATTTCATTATTTATGGATGCAACATTTTTACATTTCAATGTCGTTTCACATTCATTCTCTCTTTTGCTTTTAGCTGTTTTTTGAGGGGATGCTGACTGGGATTGTATGCGGTTTGTTCTGTTAGATACAATGTTAAACTTTTGAGTTGTATAAAGTTTGAAATCGCGTATTATTGAGTTTGGATTTGTTTAACCGACAGATCAAGTCACATTGTCATCAACTGGAGTAATTTAAGCAGGACAGATTAGTTTTCATATGAGAAACTACTTAAGTTCGACTCTTCTCTTGATTCCAACGCTCAAAGCTTTACTTATTACTTACTTCTTTGGCTGAGGCGCACTTTGGCCCATTGCCGCGCTTAGAGAACGTCTAAAGACAGCTCTATCCTTCGACACCTTCTACCAGTTCGGGATATTCAGGACTCTAGCGTCTTTATCAACAGAACCAATCCAAAAGTCCTTCAATCTTCCTCTTGCTCAAAGCTTTGTGCTCAAAGTGTAGCTTTAGTCATTCATATTTTACTGAATTACTTTGTCAAATCCAGCAATCCACAGCACCATCTAACCTTGAATCATTCCTTCCTACACATTGGAATGCGTTACGACACAGCAAAAAATCGCATTAAACTTTTAACTCCGCTATATTTTTCATATATGTAAATGCAGTAAAAAACGGAGAGAGAAGAATTCAAAACGACACTTCATTTTTCTTCTCTCCTTCTCACGTCTGCCTTTTTTCTGTCGTTTTTCATTCCCTTTTATTGTTCTCTATTCCACCAATTGAAATGCCATTCATTGTGATGTGAAATTTTTAAAGGAAATCAGTTAAATGGATGAAGGTTGATTCTCATATGAATATTAAAAGGATGCCCTAGCGAGACTAACTAGCAAATTGCTAGTCTTTCTATTTTACTACTTGCAATTTACTAGTTATTTTTAAAACAACTTACTATTAGTAAATTACACTTACTATTTAATAGCAAATTACTAGCAAATTTCCATGAGAAATGTTTGATCAAGTCTGCTTAAGTTCGAATCTTACGAAAAATCATCAAAAAAAGAATTTTTTGCATCATAAAAAATTTTGTTCTAAATTTGGCATTTGCCATATACTTCACAAGAGCGCGCAGAAATCACCTTTATAAGCTCGATCCAAATTTGTATGAGACATTCAATTTAATTATTTATCTTCCTCAGGTTTGCGTGCGAGTCATAAGCGTTCATCAGTGTTTGACTTAATTAAATTAAGTCTTTTATTTTTTTCGTAGTATTAGTGTACTTTAATTAATTTAACTAAGTACACACTAATACTTTTACAATAATTTACACAAATAAAAAAATCAAAAAAACACGTGGAAATCAACGGTTATATTCATTTAAATTTTTTACAAATTTGCTCGTAAATTACTAGTTAAATTGTAAGCGAATTGACTAGTCAAATAGCAAGTGAAAATGCGGGTCTTTGGCGATGATTTGAACTTGGATTTTGACTAGTAAATAGCAAGTAGCAAATGGAAAGTTATCAAGTGAATTACTAGGAAATTACTAGTAAATTTCTGCTAGGGATGTGAAATATCAATTATGTAATTGATGAAAAATGCTAGCATGTGATGGATATCTCAATAATTTGAGGTCTTAGTGTTGTCATATCCTCAAAGAATTGTATAAATTTCAACAGTAGACTCGTGATATAACAAGCAAGTTGTTTCTAAAGCTTAATACCATCTTGTGAATGTGACGAAGCTGCAAAAGCTAAGCGACTCTTAAATTCCTATTAAAATCAAGTTCAGTAAACTTAAAAACATGTAAATGGGTTCAGTCAACTTAGATTTCCCAGACGAAATTCATCAAGATCTGCCATTCTATGTATTATTCAAAACTGCATAAATGATTATTATTCCCAAAATAGAATAGTTGCATGGCAAGGATAGACGATAATAAATCAAATTCAAAAGATATTAAAATTTCCATCAAGCAGAAAAATTTCTATTGAATTATTTCGACTAATTCACACTTTTGTGAGCATAAAAAAAATTGGAAATTAAATCAATCATAAACAACATAAATAACTTATTCCCCAGCACATACACAATATATAAAGAACATAAATGTACGCAAACAATAGAAGCGATTCTGATGATAAGCAATAAATAAAAAAAAGAATGAAAGAATATGGGAAGAGACACACAATTGCTTTGTGTCGCACAAAAGCGATCCATCAAGCTCATCTTTGCGATTATATCTGATTCATCATCAGTCCCCGCATCAATCCTTTTTAGATTTCTTCATTCTTTGCCATTGCTTATTTCCCACATATTCCTCTATTCTATCTTATCTATTCTACTTCTACTTCTTTCTCTCTTGCTTGCTTGATGCGTTGATGAACGAAAAAATGTGATGATGGAGAATACAATGAAAGATTTAGATATGGAACTGAAACGAAAGGAGTAAGAGTTCATTGATGTTCATCAAAATTGTTCATTTTCTTTCGTCATGTATGACTGTATGAGAAAATGGATTCAGTGATGTGTCAGAAAAATATATTTCATAAAGGAACTCCATATTTGGATTTCTTTCAACCTCAAAAAGTTTTTATGCTGATCCTATAAATTCCTTATTCATCCTTCCACAATTTTTTTTTCTATCCCCACGACACACATTCTCGTTTCTTTTCATCTTAAAAAAAAATCAATTGGATTACTGATGCTGCAGTAACATTCCAAAAGAAGGTCAAGTAAACATCAATAAACGTACACACATTTCATTAGTAGATACATAACGATCATTACCAAGCTGTTTTTGGCTTGTGTCATAAATTTAGGACACATGACCCGACCTCATAATGTGTACAGCAAAATAGCTTTGGGATGTTCGCATTTTCTCTCGCGTGATATTTCCAGTCCTACTCTTATTTATTGGCCTTCCAGTAAACATGCATTTTCCACTGGAATAGAAATCTGAAGGACATTCTCGTGAGAGGAAGTGATAAATTATGAGAAAGTCTATGAAAGCTCCAAAAGATTTTAAATGAGAGAACCAGCCAAAGTTTGTGGAATAATATAAATTAAGTAATAACTTTATTAGGAACATTTGCATAAATAGACTAAAAATCACATTGTACAACACGCAAAAGGTGCTGGAAAATTAATCCTGGGAGGAATAAAATAAAATAAATCACACGTGTATGTCTTTTTAAAATGAGATTATTGTTGCTTCTCTTGCTGATCATTCTTATTTTCGCGAATCCTTTTCAATTTTCTCTTCAATGTCATAACAGCCTTGATTGTTTGAAAAGCTTTAGCCGATGCTGCATGCTCGCTGAGATTCAGTTTATTTAATTGATATCGTTCGTGATGTAATTTAATTTCAAAGTATGCTCGTTTAAGGCTTTTATAGTGCTTTAGTTCCGGCGTGTCTTTAAGCATTAAGCATCTAGAGAGCGAATTTTCTCCTTGACAATCGAAGGAATTGAGATGATAGAGTTGATGCTGAAGAGCATGTAGAAATGGTGAGCACCAAATTCTTGATATATACCAAGCCACAAAACCTATTGTTAGTCCAATTTCCACTTCTCTTGCATGAATTGTTGGAATCATATATTGGAATGGAAGAAAGTTCAGGAATACATAAATCCATGATATAAATTTGAAGACGACAAATACTCGATACATAAGAATCTGATCCTTTTCTGTGTGCAATGACAGTAATGCTAGCAATTCTGTGAACATGTGGAATAATCCTAAATTTATGTTAAGCACTACTGAATAATTCTCATATCCATAAATGTAACAAATCACGACTAAGAAGCTGAATAAGATTTTTGAAATCGATTCACTTAAGTCTCGTGCATGAAGGTCAAGAATTGCAGCACAAACGTTAAATCCGGAAATTATGCATGTAATTATTTTGAATTTGACCATATCGCATGGCTTATAAAACAGGAGATTCCTTCTTTTTGGATACCATTTTCCTTTCTCAAAATCCAATTCATCTTTTATAAAGTATGAATGATAGAGAATTAAGAATGTCGTACAACAAAAGTAAAATATAAAGTTCCAGATGCAATTAATTGATTGGCGATGCATAACTTTCGAGACTTTTGATTTTGTTAGTAATTTCTGCAAGGAAATTAACGATTAAGTTCCTCAAACATTCCAAAATTTACCATGTTTTTACCTTCAACAGCTGATAAAACAGAAAATACACGGAAAGGATGAATAAAATGTAAATAAACAGAACATTCACATTCTCATTGAAGTCTTTTGAGCCTAAACGGAATTTTAATTGCTGGACATACTCGAGACACTCAAGCAGAGATATTTTAGACCACATTTAAACAGTAAAATTATATTTTTTTATTAAATCCACAACAGTCAAAACCAGTCAAAACAATGAGGGTGCACAGCTTACATCCTCAGCATTAAATTATTATGATCCGTTACAGCTATTTATGGGATGTGTGAGCATGTGAATGAGTGTCGGTAAGACAGTTTCGTTGTTTCTTTTCTTGCTGATTATGGTTGGTCGTAAAATTAATCTGAAATTGAAATTGATAACTTTTTGTACTGGAACTAGTCAAGGGTCAGCAATTATTTATTAAATTTGTTGTTAATCGTGTTTTTGATTATTTTTATTTTATTTCAATAATTTTTCAAAATACTAACATTAAGTCATGGTTTTATATGTTTAATATTGCTGACTTAAAAGTCATTCTCATCTTGGTCAGTGATTACACAACGAATTTTAAATGTCGTGATTATCTCTTTATTAAAAGCACTTTTTAAGTAACAATTTTAAAAAAATATATGATCTTTATTGCTTTAGTCATTTTTTACTTCAATTTAGGAAGTTTATTTGATTTTACTTAAAATATATTAAAAGGCACTTTGTTAAAATTCATATCAAAATGTTGAAAAGTATTTTGCATATATTCAATGCCGAACGAGAATTATTTTTGAAGATTTTTGTATCGTTTTTGTCATGTCGAAAGTCATCACTTTGTTCATGTTCCTAACGGATAAAATTAAAAAATATTTTTTATAATTGTTGATAGAAATGTTTGGTTTAAGTTTTTGAGCAAGCTTTAATGTTAGGTAAGTGCAGGTAGACATTTTTAACTGAATAATGAGAAAATAAAGGATTTAGAAGTTCTATAGAATTAAGACCATGGAAAATACCTGATATTAAATTTGAAAGTTATTGAACCAATATTAAATTTCAATGCTTTTTGTTCTTTTTCGTAACGGAAACCAAACTTTTAAAATGAACTCTAATTCTAAATGAATGTATGAAATCATCCAAGACACAAATGAGTAAGCTAAAAGCTTCAATAATACAAGAAGTTTATGAAATGAGTATGAAACTGAAGAAGAAATTTTCTGGAATTATTTTGTACCTTTATTTCTTAAATATGTAATAGATTTTTTTTAAGTATTCAGAAAATTTAATGATTAGTTCCTATTGATCTACTGTGAATCATAAGACGTTAGTAAAGCGATGATAAAACATTTGCATTACGACATTGTCTATAAAACAAGTCAAGCTTACAACTTCTAAAGTTTATTAAATGTGAATTTTAATTTACTTCCTGCAAACTTCTTAACGCAGGCTGCTTTCTTCAGAAGAGGTGTTAATAAATGAGATGTATCGCATCGCTCGATGTAGAATGGAATCTTTTCCATATGTACGTGGACTACATGTTCTGACAATAAATCAATATTTTGAGTTCCAAATAAGCAGTAACAACAGTTGTATGTATAAACTCCATAGCAATTTGTTTGATGTTGCTCTAAATTGCTGATTGAATCATTTTTATTGCATTTGTTGCAGTTAACTCTTGAATTTGTGTAACATTGCCTTAAATGTAATTTAAACTGATAATACGTATGAAATAATTGAGGACAACCTGTAATGAGAAACAATTGTTAATAAATAATTCTGATTAATGTTGCCAGTAATTCTGTCCTTACCAATGCATCGTAATATTGGAAGTTCTCTTAAATTGATTTTTTCAAACTCTTGATCTTCCATGGTGGGCTGGATAGATTGAATATTATATATTTTGGTTGTGCCGACGTTTTTATGAATCAAAGTATGTTGGACAGCACTGTACTGACTGCATGTTCTATAGAAGCATCGAGAACAATAAAATTTACATTGGCTGTATTTTCTAGTAATATGCAGCACAAGATCATTAACACTTTGAGTATTATAAGTGCAATAGCTACAACAGAAAATTGAATTTTTTGGATTTTTAACTGCTTTTTGATGCAATGTTAAGTGATCGCGGAAATCATTTGAATGATCAGTAGCGAAACTACATGTAATAAGCATGCATTTGTAAAGCTTACTCATATAGTTTGTATCAAAACATTTTTCAATAACAGATTTAACTTTTAAATCCTCTATATCCAGCCAAGGTCTCATCGATCTCGTTTTACACACAATTGAGCACATTGTGGCAACATTTCCTTGAACAACACATTGCGACGTACTCGGAATTTGATTTTGAATTGCATTAATTGTTTCTGGAGCTGGAACATGGATTGGTGGTCTTTGAACTAATCTCCCATAATTTGGCCTGATAGTTGCTTTACTTCCGTATGTGTTAGAATTTTGAGCTTCACTAGAATTCGATATTAAAGCATTGCTTGGATTGCCACTTTCAATGTCATTAAAACTATTTTTTGAACTTGGAGCAATAGCTGCTGTTGGACGAACTTGATATGATTGATTAGGAAGAGTTCTTCGTATAGTATTTGGTACAAATGCTTGCTGATTCACAAACAATGGAGATGTTTGGTCGTTTTGATTAGGAAGAGGTCGTGCCATTCTTACATTATTTATAGCATTAACTCCACGGAAAGATCCAGATGAAAGTGTGTATGTCACTAGTGCATTTGTTGTTGTGTGCAATATAATACTGTTTGGTAGCATTGTTGGTGCTATAGAAGCTCTAAAATTAACTGGTTTGTTTGGCCGGAAAGGAGGTACTATGGGAGCTCTTCTAATAACTGGTTGTTGTACTTGATCATATCTAGAAATATTTTCTTCTATCACAGCTTGCAAATCAGCTTCTTGTTCTGGTGTTGTTTGCGGTATACAACCTTTTGGAAGTGGAGTCATCGATGGATTAATATAGTTTGAAGAACTTGTTGGAACTGAAGGTTGTTTTTCAGATATCACGGCATTTTCTAACGTCTTTCTTGCTCTTTCTAATTCTGTTAGTTGTTCAAAAGTCATCTCTGGATCTAAAACTTGTATGGGATGCAGAGATGTAGAACTTTCATTAGTTCTACCTGAAAGCTTATCACCTGGTAAACTTTTTATTCGCAATATTTGTTTCACTTCATTTTGTGGCATTTCTGGTTGATTTGATGATTTTACTCCATCTTGAGAATTTTTCTGTTCAATTGGCTTGTCACTAGGATTTTTATTCGTTTGTACATTTGGTGCGACTTCAGGCTCCTTTTTCGGATCATTTATTGGTTTTGGAACATCCGAAGTAGATTCTAAAGGCTGTGAAATTACAACACAATCAGAATCATGACTGTGATTGTCATCATTTTTATCGTCATCAACTAGATCTGTATTTTCTTTTGTACTTAATCTTTGTTCGTGCTCTGGTTTGATATGATATTTAATCATATGATCATACTCGTCGATTAATGGACGAATTTGTTTTGAAAAACTTTTTCCACATAGATTACAAAATCCAGCCCATTTATCCATCACATGTCTTGAGAGGATATGATATTTGAAAGCATCTTCTCTAAGATTGTAGTATTTACAGTTGTTTAAGCACCGAAATTGATAACCACCGCGACATGATATGTATGACAAATTCAATACTTTTCGTTCATTTGCAGTCAACAACTTCGACATTGGAGAGCATTTCCTTTTTATGTTATTTGGAGATACACGGTGTTGAGTTGTATTCTTTTGGGGAGTTTGCTGTAAGACTGTTTCTTTGTTCGGAGTACTTAATTGTTTTGCAGCATTCATTAATGTATTTGAATTCTTGTTAAGCATTTCTTTTAGTGTAGAATCTTGATTTTTCGCGGGAGTTACTGGCATCCTTGGTGTAACTTGAGATGCCTTCTCTTGGATGTTATTCTCTTGGACGATTTCTTCACTATCTTCTATGGTTATAAATTCTTCCACGTTTGTGTTCGTTGTCTTATTTTGAGCAGGATTGTTATCTATTTTTTCAATCTTTGTTACTGGCATTCTTGGTCCAACTGGAGATTCCCTTTCTTGGATGTTACTCTCTGGGACGATTTCTTCACTATCTTCTATGGTTATAAATTCTTCCCCGTTTGTGTACGTTGTCTTATTTTGAATAGGATTGTTATCTATTTTTTCGATCTTTGTTACTGGGTGTTGATTATTATCCTGCCTACTTTCATTATTACTATTTGCTTTGTTCGTGTTCTCTTCTTCCGTGTCTTTTGTTTGAGCTTGTGTATCAATATAGAGAGCATCATCTTCACTTTCACTTGAAATAGGGTCATACATACAAGCCTCTTGAATCTTAAACTTTTCTTCGGTTATGCTGTTTGTCATAATATTAAGAGGATCCGTAGACATTTCGTTTGAAAAAGAACCAGCTTGTTTTTCATCTTGATCTTTTGTTCCTGTTTTTAAATCGTTGTCTGTAACTTTTTCGTTTGATTTCATGTCAATAAAATCCTCATCGCTCTCACTCAATATTGGATCATAAAAAAGATTATCATCTAATTCAGTCTGCATATTTTTTAGATCTGCTTTATCTTCCTTCTCTTTGTTTGATGTTTTGATATTTAGAATAGGAGTTTTAGCTTCAATATTTTCATTTTCTTTGTTTTTCACTTCTGGTCTGTCTAGCTTTGGTTGATCAATTGTAGCAGTTTCAACATTGACAGGAACTATGATTGGTTTGATAACATCAACTGTCTGACAGTTTGTTTCCAAATTACTGACTTCGGGTTGTTTAGTTGAATTTTCATTGTTGATCTTCCAAACACCATTTACAAAATGAACTTTATAAGGTTTTGGCTTAGGCTTATGTATTATATGTAATTTGTTGATAATAACCTTACATCCTGTTATTTTTTCCGCAGTAATGAAATGGTAAACGGGATTGTTTTCATGTTCATCTTCATCTGATGGTAATAATACAATTTTAGGACTGATTGTTTCACCTGAACTACATTCAGTGTCAATGTCTTCGTCACTAAGAGTATTTTTATTACTTTCAAATGATACAACTCTTGGATCGTTTTCGAGATCAATATCAGGAGTAGATCTGTTGTCTTCAGAGTTTTCATTCTTAAGAATTTCCATTGGTTTCCCAACAAGATTATCAGGAGTTGTTCGATCACTATCTAAGTCTTCTAATTTTTTAGCTTTCAGTGTCTCCTTGAACCCAATTTCACTTTCGTCTGATTCATTATTTTTATTCTGATTACCTTTTGAAGAACTAGAATCACTAATTCGTCTTCTTCCACGACGTTTCTTCTTTTTCGGAGACTCCGATTTATCTTTAGGAATTGAATTAACGAAAGCATCGCTATCATCAGAAGTTGATGATTTGTTATCAATATTATAATCAACCTTCTTGTGTTCTCGTGGCTTTAAAGTTAAAAGACTTGGTTTTATGAAGCTTTTATCAATGTCTTCTCTTAATATATCTAATTCTCTTCTTCTTTGTTTAAGCCTTAATTTTTTTGCTGTTTTAGATCTTCTTAGTGAATTATCCTTTTTATTTAAATAGCATTGATAATCTTGGTCATCAGAGAAATCAAGCATAGACTCACTTTCTGAGCTATCTGAACTCTCATCAGAAGATGTTTGTTCTTTTTCATCAGGAGGATTCAACGTTAAGCGCACAAAGTCTTCCAAAACTCTTTCATTACTTCTATTTCTTGAAAGCCCTTTTTTATCTAAACTTAAAAGTCCTCGTTCACAACATTGTCGAAGGAACATTATAAGTTTTGTCAATTCCAAATCAGGAATAGAGTTTTTGACAAGATTTATAATCGCTGACGTTTCTGTTGTCTGTTTATTTGTAGAAAGAACGATGATAGCTTCCCTGAAGCCTTCAAGAGAATTCATTAGTTTCTCATTTGATAATTTACTTTTAACAGATTTTTCTGAACTTTTTGCACTTTCTGCTGAATAAAATTCACTTTCAGATGATGAATTCGATTTATTTCTCTTACTTCTACTCGAACTTGTGCTGGATGTTTTTTGAGATTTCATCTCATCATCAGAAGATTCTGAATTTTGCATAATTCTTCGTCGTTTTCGTTTATCTTTGCTTTTTTCAATATCACTCACTTCCGAACTGGAACTAATCTTTCTTCGTTTTCTTTTAACACTTGCTGGTCGCAAAATTTCGTCATCCTCGCTATGATTTTGAGTGACATTAGAATCTGGAAAAGTTTTTATAGCAGATTGTCCAGAACTACCGCTGTACACAGTCTTCCAATCATCAATATCTGATTCTGGTTCTTCTTCTTTAATTTTAACTGCGGTATGATCAGTTCGATAGCTGTTATCATGTTGGCTGTTTCCATTATGATCTGTTGTAAGCTTTACTTCTCGGATTATTGTTTCAACATCACTTCTTTCTGGCTTTAAAGCTATTTTTTGACTATCTGTGTCTGGTGTAATGTTATTAGTTTGGATGATAGTCGTTATAATTTCCACATCTGGTCTCTCAGGTTTAAGAACTATTTCTTGTACTCGATTATTAGGAATTTGTTTAGTTCCATTGGTTAAATTTTGTTGCTTGGTTTTAATTTCTACAACTTCATGTTCTTTATGATATGGAAGATAATTGCTTGTTGTCTCATCATCGCTACTTAAGCAAATTACTTCCATTTCATTACTTTTATTTTTATTGTTTTTCTTTGCAGATCCTGATGACGAGCACTAAGGATTAATAAGGAAAATAAGGATAATTAAATTTTTGTCTAATTTGAATCTTTTTTTTTTAATTTTTCTTACACTGTTGGAATCGTTAATTTTCTTCTGCAAGTTAGAAATTGCCGCCTCAATTTTTTGAACTTGTTCGGGAGATAACCTATAAAAAATAAAATTTTAGATTTATAAGAATTTAAAAAATTATAATGTTTTACACACTTTTAAAAATTTTCATACATTTCCTAGTGCAGTCAGGTAAAAATTGAACTGATAATCATTTAAGACAGTGCATTTATAATAACAATATTACATTTGAGATTTTTAACCTTTTGATAAAATAATTGTTGATTTATAAGTATTTTGAATTTATATTTTTATACCTGTTATACACTTTGATCATAACAAACTAGTTTTGCCGACATGCAGAATTCTACCTAGAAAAACTTTTATCACAGTTTTTGAAATTTTATTGCTGACATTCTTTTAAGGTAAAAAATTACCTTTTTAAAGAAAAATAACCATCTTATCAGATTTTTAAAAAAATCTTATTTGAAAAATTAAAAAATTTTAACTAGTATTGTTACTTAAATATTCAAGGTGGATTCAAAATGAAAATTTATAAAAATAATGAAAATTATCTAGGTGCACCTCCTTTATTTAAATTCTTTGAAAATCTCACTGATGTCAAAAAAAATTGACATAGTGAAAAAATTCAAACAAAAAATAATTTAAGTTTTCAAAAAATCTATAAAAATTTTGAAAAGTAGAAAAACTTTTGAAACCTGAAAATATAAGTTCTTTTTCGAAAATCTTATTTGAAATGTTTTAAACCTTCCGAAATTGCATTTAGTTTAATTTTTCAATCTTTTACTTAAGGAATACTTTTTTTCTTCGGCATCAGTGTGCTTTTCAGTGAATTTAAAATTGGTGTGCCTTTGAAAATTTTACGACTTTCGTTCATCATTGGAGTGAATTTAAATTTGATAAAATTCTTTAGCATTGAAACTTTAAAGTACCAACCAACTTTCATACAAATTGGTTTTATTCTTATTTTTGATTAAAAAAATGAATCTCGATTGCATATTCTACTCAAAATTATTGGTCTATAAACAAGTTTAAAATAATAAGACACGTTCATAAATGACGTCACATAATTAAATTAAAGATTTTCTGTTCAGTCGATCATGTGTTGCAGGTAAATAATCGAAAAAAAGTTGAAAACAAAAAAGTTCGGCCAAAAAATAAACATTTTGACAAGTACTTCCTCGAAAAAATTCGAAAATTTCGAAAATTCTAAAAGATTCAAACTGTGGCACATCTAAAAAAATTTATACAAAATTATGTATGAACGGGAAAATTGACTGGTTAGGGGGGGGGGGGGGGGGTACTAAAACCCTAGCAAATTGAAGAAATTTCTCAAAAAATAAAATATAAAAAATTTCAAATCAAACGTAAATAATATCTCGAGGAATGCGAAAATAACAAAAGTCACTTCAAAGACTTATCAAGGACATACATACTGTTGCATACAATATATCCCAATACATACTATACATATGTGACTTGAATAAATATATCCAGAACTCTCAGTACAATATTTAATAGTCGAGACACATTTTTTCTTCTCATTTAACATTCTCTCTCTCTCTCTCTCTCTCTCTCTCTCCCATTATCTCTCCATCTTTCCTCTCTCACTCTCTATATCTTTCTCTATTTCTATATCAATGTATCTCCTTTTCCTTCATTTCTGTGCTATGAGCATTCTATGAATATTTACTATGAACATAGTTCAAGAAAAGAGGCTGAAAATCACAAAAAGTAGGTAAAAAAAATTTAAAAGAATTTTGCCGAAATCAAAAGCAATAAAATAAAGAAGAAAAAAGCTTAAAAATAATCATCACGATAGAAAACAAGTTTTTTAAAAATCAAATAAAAATGAAGAAAATCAAGCAAGAAAATAATTGATCATTTTTAGGCTAATGTCTTACATTTAAATATTTTTCTCGTTGCTTATCATGAATTATTGATAACATTCCTTTCGCTAAGATTTTTTTAAACGTTCAAGACATTCACACAACAACCAAGCGGATATTCTAGTTTGATGGCAAAGCAGTTTTAACTTTATATGCATTTGGTAGCCGTTCGTGGGAAACATTTCAATAAAATTGGTTTTAAATTTGTCAAAATTCAAAAATTTTACCTTAACTTTTGAAAAAAAATAATTTCTTATAATTATGAGTGAGTATAGTCATCCTATTCATCATGCGAAATTTTGATGGTTTACTTCACGCTGCACTTAATTTTTGTGTATTAATTACGAATACAAAAGCAAAAATAAACTTGATTGAAAACATAGAACGAATAATGAACATGTTAGGAACACACACCACTTATTATTTATTCAAATCTCAATACTAAAGCAAAGCAAAAGCAAAGAAGAAAATGTTAATCATGTATTTATTTTTTCCCGCTCATTTTGCTTTTATTCATTTTTTCGCGCTGTTATTTCTTTTCTTACTTTACATTCTCGCTGCAACAATGTTGATGCAAGGTTGTGATCGTTCGTATTTTCTATCGTCGCATTTTAAATACATTCTTATAATTTCTACTGATATGATTAATTCATTTCCGATGAAATTAATAAAATTACGTCTAGCTTATCACACCATCGTTGCAAACTGATATTATTATAAATGTTTAATTCTTTTATTAATCAAGTCCAGAGTTACGATACAGGTTGATTGTCACAGGTACATGTGACAGATCTGTAACAAGTAATGACTGTTTACAGGTTCGCATGTCACAAGTAACTCTCTGTCAAAGGCATTGACTGTCAACAGGCACTGCATGTGACAGATCTGTCACCTGCACCTATGACAAGCGACCTGTATCGCATCTCTGATCGCATCTTATTACAGTAAAATGGTTTCAGCTATAAGAAAGTATTTAATCGCCTAGCAACTCATAGCAGATCAAGGCACCATGAATAAGTCGAAGGAAAAATCTAGATTTTAAATGTTTTTGTATTCATTAAAATTTATTTTTCTCAAAGTTGTATTCAGTGTTGCATTCTGGCTATTTGTCTGGATCAGATAAATTCTGAGACAGAAATTTCTTCATAAAGATCGATTCTATATGAAGATAGAAAATCTAATCTACACAAAGATTATTTGTACATAAAGATTCTGTCTACATAAAGATTCGATGTAGATGTCTATAATTCTACATTCTTCTCTGATGTAGACCTGGAAAAAATGTAGAATTGTAGACATCTACATCGAATCTTTATGTAGACAGAATCTTTATGTGCAAATAATCTTTGTGTAGATTAGATTTTCTATCTTCATGTAGAATCGATCTTTATGAAGAAAGTTTCTTAGCTAGACAAAAACTATTGAAGAATCTACATTCTTCATTTAGTGTAGACATCTACATTTGCAACACTGGTTGTATTTCATTTCAAAAATACGTGGGGGTGAAGTTTAGGTTCGAAAAAAATTTGACTTTAAATTACCCTCTCTGGCTCATGCAACTGACTCATCAAAACTCAATAAGAGTTTCCATATTCCAAATGAAAATATTGCAGACGGATTATTTGCAAATAATATCAAATTTAAATTTTTAACACTATTTGCAGTTTTTGGACAATTCAGCAGTTGTGCTGATTCATCGGATGCACTGACAAAGTTTTAACTATGTTTTTAGGTTGAAACTTGTTTGATTAAGAAATATTGAAGATTGCGACAACATAAAATTCATAATTAAGAAAATATTTTTTCGAATTCCGACAAGGCATACGCAAAATATGTAAATCGGTGATGATTAGTCTAATAAATTCCAACATAAATGTTTTTAATCTTATTCGTTATGAAGAAACTCAGTCAAATCACCGAAAAAATAAACATCAAATCCTCAAAATGTTTTAAGTTAATGAGAAAATGTTTAAACTTTAACGATAACGCACGAGCGATCCACATAAACTTTTGTGCCAATTTTTTAAACCTTTCAACTCTTAAAAATATTTGAAGTTTTTATTTTTTTTCAACATAAAATTAGTTCCACTTGATATCCTAAAAGTGATCATTTCTATTCACACTTGATTCACACAAAAAAGTTCAGTTTGAAAACTAAGTTATTTAAATGCATGAAACTATCTATATCGGCAACTAATGAGCATCTCAACATCATGAAACAATCTCCGCATTTACGGCTGTCAAAAAATATTCTAATATACTAATTCTATTGCACATTCATGAGCTTAGATAAAAAATAATTCAGGAACTTCAGGAACTTTTGAAAAATCAGCAGTCAATAAGCTTAAATTACAGAAACTAATCATGTCAATGAAATTAATAGTGATTAGTATAGAATGGTTCATTAACTTCCTTATCAACCCTCGCATCTCAGCATTTTTCACAAATCAACATTTAAATCAATGCACACAATCACAACATTTTCTTCTGTGCTGACGATCCTTTCCACACAAAAATCACACAAAGGAATCAAAACAAAAATCATACTCACTTCTTTCCACAATCAATGACATTCTTCATATTCTCAAATTGTTTCACAAACGGCGCTCCTCTCATGTGTGCGATTATTTTATCCAAGAATGGCAAGTGCCTTCTTAAGGACTCTACTGTCATTGCAAATTCACTCATTTTTATTATTTTTTTAACTTTTTTTATGTTTTTAAAAATTAAATTCACAAATGTATGGCTTAATTAATATTTTTTGGTATCACTCCATACTCGAACGACACTTAATGAACTTAAATTAATACTTAAACTAGCTTAAACATGTTTACACGTCTTTAGATGCCGAAATATGTAATAAAACTGATTCTTGGTTAAAGACATGATCTTTACTTTACGGATGACTCAAAACAAATGAGGAACTTATAGCATGTGACATGTAGAGGCGCTACGGACATTTAGTATATTCTATTACATTTTACTAGTTTTATTTACTTTTTTGTCATTCATTGTTTGTAGATGTAACAGTTCGGTTTAAATCATTAATATTTATATCTTAAACATGTTGTGGAACTGATAAATAATTAATTTAATCTAAATTAAGTTCGATTAAATCTTGTGATTATGTCAGAATTGTGGAATTGAAGTGAATTTGTTGAGGAATTGCATTTTATAAATTTTTATGACCTAAATTACAAAAAGTGAAATTATTTCTAAAATAAACATAGTTAAGCGATGTAAAACAAATAGTTCAGAAACTTTCAACTCATGTTTCATCCAGCAAATTAAATTGAAAACATAAAGTTTCAAAAATCAAGACAATTTCGTCATTATTAAAATTAAAAAGTTTTTAATAGATTGCTCATGTCCTAGATTTTTGATTCGAAGTAAAGGCACGTAGCCAACGAATAAAAATGAGCACTGAAAATATTTTAATAGAGCAACATCTAACGTTCGTCAATAAAATGCGTGAGAGAGTAAGAGGAACGGATTTGGAGCCGATATGGGAGAGACTTTATGCGTATATGACTAAAATAAATGAGTATGTTATGTTTTTTTCTTATCTTATGCTCTTTCTGGAGATGTAAAAAAGGTTTTGGGTTGTCGATAATAAATTAAAATATTTTTTTTTGATAATTATTTTTGAATAACTTTACATGATTAATGTGGCTGAATATAGATTGACTTTTAATTTTTGTTTTTTGAATGTTACATGCTGAGAATTTATTCAGAAGTTTGATCTATCTGAGTTCATTTAATATTGTAATAAAAATTAATGTATAGACTTCAGGAACAACACCGCTTGTTGCCCTTGACTAACCACATTTCCTTATCTCAATTTTCATCCTTTCTAAACAAACAGCTTGCCGGAAGATAAGAAGATAGCAATAGACGCAATGATCAAAAAAATGATAGCAAAAATTGAACATTTTAAAAATATTTCGGAACAAAGATTGGACGCTATAAATACTGAAAATAAAAGTGATCATGAAATTGATGCCCAATTTGAAACTTCTCCAGCCCCAGACATTTCTTCATTGTCAGTGCATAGCTCAACTTCACAACCTGAACAGCCTTCAAAAGATGCCCATGAATTCATCAAGCCAAAGCAGAAGGTAAAGAAGTTTAAAAGAATCAGAATGGCACGTAAAGACTATCCTCACATTGTAATGTCACCGAGAGGTGACAACATTCCTGTAATGAGAATAAGACTCTCTGAAATTCACAATAAAAAGAGACAAAAGGAAGCAAAGAAAAAGAGTAAGAAGATAAAGGATGTTGATGTTCTGAAAGCAGCAATAGACCAATATGAAAGAAGTAAGCAATTGCCGATTTCAGAACCAATTATACAGATAGAAAAAAATGTTGAGACTGTTCAAGAAATTCAGCCAGAAATAGAACATGAATCTGTTGTTGAAAAAGTCATTCAAAATCATCAAAACAACAATATTCCAATGGAAGTGGAAAAAGCCGGTGAAATTTCAAGCGTCCATAACACCACGATTGAGAACAGATTGTCCATACTTGGGTTAAAGGAATGCACCGTTAAAATTATAAAATGCACACCAGAAAAAAAGAAAAATATTTCAGAGACAATTGAGTTCCAACCTGAACTTCCATCTTCATCAGAAAAAGTTGGTTCTAGCACTCAAGCCATAAATATCCCAAAAAAATCAACAGAACTTAAAAAAATTCCAATTGAAAAATCCAAATCTGTAATTCAGCAAAATGGAAGTAAAAAAATCGACGATCAGGAGTCAATTTACATTGTGGACTCTGACGACGAAGATAACATGCATATTCAGATATCAACTACAGCTGTAGAGGATATCAATGCTCAAAAAGTAACCCCAAAAGGAATAACTCGCTCAAGAAAAAAATCGCTGTACCGCGAACCATCAGTCATTTCAAAAAAAGAAACAGAACAACCGGTAACTCCACAAACATCATCAAAAGCTCTAAACAAGTCTCCAAAAACTATAAAATATCAGCCATCTCCTCAGTCAAAAAAGCAAAAATTAGAAGATAAAGATTCTCAACAAAATTCTGATGATTCGTGCATTGTTACTTTAAAAACAGTGGATTTAACAGTCAAACCTCAAGAAGTCACTGGAAATCCTACAACATCTCCCGTCACACCACAAACTTCATCAAAATCTGCTGAATTATTAAAGAACGTCAATAAATCAGCTCCTGTTGCTAAACTTCAAGGTCCAAAACGAAACAGAAATTCAATTGACACGCTGCCAATTTTAAGAATGATCTCACAGACATCAGAAAAAACAGCAATAAGACAGTCAGTTAGACAAGCAACAAGAAGAAATAGTGTTGCTGTTGCTTTCGAGCCACAATTACCAGCAAAACAGAAAATTACACCAGAAAAGTCATCAAATTTCATTAAAATTATATCAGTGGATTCAATTCCATCATCTACGAGCATGTTAAAAATGTTGGACGCTCAACAAATTATGCCTACAAAAAAATTGCAAAATGCCAGAAAATCAACACAATCAAACCAAATTTTGCTTAATCGTGAACTAGCATCATGTAATCAGACAACAAACAATAATAATATGAATCAGGTTACGGCTTTATATGATGATAGTTTGGAATTGATTTCATATGAACCAACTCAAATTCCTCAAAATATTCCGTCAGAGTTTAAAAATGAGCCTAAGTCACCAGTAGGCTATATGACACCGCCAATGACAGAAATCCCAACATGCGTCATGTTACTTGAAGCTCAGAAAGATAAGAAACTTGTGTTGCTTAGTTCTGCAGCAACATTAAACAAAATTCGTCCGTGGCTGAAAACAAGCGAGCACAGGAAATTATTAAAAAATTGCGAAAATATGCTTGCGAATGGATTTTGTTTATCAGCATTATTTAAATGCATGGGATCGACTTGCAGTTACTATACCAACAACTCAACATTATTCATACGTCATTTAAAGATTCATCAACAAAAGCAAGCAAATGACATGAAATATTTCTCACAATGTGCTTACTGTAGTACTATTGATGATAATCCTGAAGCTTTAGTCCAACATATTATAGATAAACATGGATACAGCAGGTATGATGATTATTTCTAGAATATTTTAATATCAGTCCATAGTCATTAATAATAATTCTGTCGATCAATTATTAAACTATAAGCAGGTAGAAATTAAATAAGAAACAAGTCGTTTACTTATTGTGTAACATTTTAAGCAGGGATGGGGTCTGAAATTTATGGCACATAAAACAAAAGAAATTTTACTTCTTGGAAAAATGTGTTAACAATTGAAAGCAGTATTTTTTTGGGTTACGTCATAACTAGAGACCCATAAAAAACATAAGCATGCAGGATCATGTTTCTTATCACATGTCTCTCTTTCTTACAGATATCAATGTGCATACTGCTTTTATAGAAGCTGCGATTTTCACATTCACACACACCATAAATTATTTCATCCACTAAAATCTGAAGTCATCATTGAATGTAAGCCACTCAGAACATTGGACATAGAAAAAGAATTCGAAAACGCTTTGAGTAATGTTATGAGTGTGTGCAAGCCAGTTTTTTGTTGCGGTAAGGGACAGCTATCTTTACCTGAATTTAACACATAACTATAAAATTTCGATCCTATTTTTTACAGTCTGTAAGTTCAAGTTCTACAACATTAAAAATTTTGAGAATCACTACAAAGCATATCCATCTGTACCATCATCAAGATGTCTACATTGTAAATTTGAAATTACTCAAGCATCTATTATGGACCATTTAAAGGAATGTCATAAATTTGGTGACTATAACTGCGCTTTTTGTTCCTTTGCATCAGACTCATCGGATTCGATAAAAATTCATCTTTCTAATCAGCATTATGATAAGCCTATGCTGTATTATGATCGTACTAAGCAGTCACATAATGTAGATCTGAAAGCAAAAGGATCGACGGTAATTTTTGACTCATTAATGAATCTTTTGACTTTATTAACATAAATTTATTAATTTTTAAAACAGAACAAGGAAGATGTCCTGAAAAGTGTTGTGCTGAAGAAACTAATTCATCAAGAACAGATGAATGCAAAGAAAATAAAAATTTTCAATGATCCGAATGAACTTGAAAATGTTCATAATATCAATACGGGACTACTGGAAAAATAAATAAATTTTTGGTAATTCAAGGAACTGTTAAAGATGTCTACAATGTTATTTTAAAAATTAAAGTAAGTTCCTTTTCATCAAATGTCAAGATTCATTAAATGTAAGCTCATAAACTGAAATCAAAATATCAATAAAAAAATTATTTTAAAAAATTCATCCTATTAAGCAGTTTGATTCCATTGCAGTTTTTATTCCCAAAAAATTATTAATAAAAATTACAAAGCAATTAATCGTGTAGCGACACAACTTCACCAATTTGAATGAAACATGAGCTATCGGAAGATGAAGGTCTTGGTCGTGCTGTCTGATCTATTATTAAATTGTCAGCTAATCTCCCAACGTTTCCAGAATTTTTATAAACTTCATCGTTAAATGAATATCTGAGGTGCAATTTCTTGATATTTCCAGTGATCCGTTTGCCTAATTCCTTCGTTGTAAGCGATTCAAATGTTGTTGGATCTTTTCCAGCCTGTGAATTAAAATAATAATTATCATTTACGAATAAAAATGGGATATTAATCTCCTTACATTCAAGCTTCTTTCAGCAAAATACGACAATTTGTCAGGATGTTCAGTTGAGAGATGATTATCAATAGCTGAAAAAATGTTTGAACCGAAGACACAAAACACACACTGGAAGTTTCCGAATTTGTTGAAACATTTCAATAAATGCTGACTAATGCTCAACTTATTTGTTGCTTGATTGCATTTTATGCAAACTGTTGTGAAACTTTCCTTGTGACTTGAAACGTGTGACTCAAATTCTGCTATTGTATAAATTCCAATTCGGCAGTCTGCATCAACAAAAATTTAATAAAAATTTGATTTTATAATTTATTGAGTAAAAATAGTTCAACTTACATGGACAAGGAAGTGGATGACAAACTTTTGGAATTGATTCTGAAATCATACTTTTTTCGATGTTCTCATTTTTAATTTTTCGCGGCTCAAACACGACTACGCATTTCTCTTTCAAACGATGAAAATTCGAATGATGATTTGCTGTGACTTGATACTCATTGATTGACCGATAAAAGCAGTATTTACATCTGAACGAATATTTATATCATTAATGAGAAGATAAGATAATATAATTTTAAGGATCTTACCCAAACTTTCCATACGAATGTGCATTTTCAATGTGCACCAACAAAACATTAATACTTTTGGGTCGGAAACTGCAGTAACAACAGAGGAGATAATTTTGAGAATCTGTTTTCTGATGAACATGATGTAATTCAAGATGCTTTTCAAACAGACTTTTGTCATTCGAGAAGTAGCTGCATGTTGATCCCATGCATTTATATAAAGAAGCAAGGCAGTGCGAACTGTTGATCATTTTCATAGCTTCTAATTGATCCTTTCGAGATTTGTAATCAGAGTTTTCAATCCAAGGTCTCATAATGTCTACAACATCATCGTCATCATCATCATCGATTAGATCTACAACTTCTACTGACTCATTTTTAGCATTACTTCCTTCCACTGGTTCTGGTAAATCTGGAGGGGGCTGATTTTTAACAGTTGGTAAAGGTTTTAAAGTATTTAAAACATTTTTGCTTGAAATATCATTGATTTTAGGTGCTTTTTCATTTGCAGACGTACTTTCTTCGACTGACAACGATGCAGTAGATGTAATTGAAACAATTCTTGGCATTTTATTTTGTTCTATTCTAGAATTATTTTGTATTGACGATACGTTTGGACTAATTGATTCGACATTTGAAATCATCGGTAAACTCTTCCTAGTTGTTTCATCTTTGGGAGTAGACACATTTGCAGTCTTTTGTGCGCTTATCTTAGTTATATTTAATGAAGTATTCAAATTTGACATCATATTTTTGATAATTTCATTGTTTTGCTCAGCAATTGATGGAGCAGATTGCTGATTTTTAGTACCTGATAACGCTTCTTTAAGTTCCTGCTGTTCTTTTGCACTAAGAGACCTTACTTTTACAATTTCGTTATGAGTTTCTTTTGCAAGTGGTTTCACAATGACTACTTTTTGTGTGTTATTTTGTGACGAATAAATTTTTGTATTCATTTCATTTGATGGTCCAGCATTAAGAGCATCTGATTGTTGTGTCTGTTGAATGGACGTTGAGAAAGATTGGACAGATTTTTCGACAGTAGGAAGCTTAATTGTAATTTTGGGAGATTTCGGAGATTCAGGAATGTAAGTTGGTGATTTAATTTCGGAACCAGTGTTTTTGGAAATCATTGTTAACAGGTTCTTCTCTAAAGGCAAGTTGATTCTTTTTGGAATAACAAATTTCGAGTCGTTTTCTGATTTATCTGGTACTGCAGCAATGCAATTGTTTGAAATTGAATTGTCAGTTTTAGGATGTACTCTGCTTCTTATTGAAATTTTTTTGTATCCACATTTTCTAGCAAAACGATTTAATAAATTGCTGAATGTCTTCAATTTCATAGTTTTGTCGTAATTGTTATTATCATCAGAAGAATCAACGTCTTCCCAGTCATAGACGCTACTAAACTTAAATCTCTTTGGTTTCTTCTTTAAGATTCCTTTGCTCCAAGGCAACAGTCTTCGCTTCTTCTTCTTTGAAATTACATTCGTTGGATTTTCAGGTTCTGTATTTATGTTACTTTCAATTTGGATTTCATTAATCGGCTTTTGAATTTCTGCAACTGGAAGCTCATTAATAATTAATGAAGCCGTTGGTTCAGCTTTAAACTCTGGGAATTCAATCTTCGGGACTTTCACTGTGGGTTTTTCTTGCGATATTGTTCTTCTCTTTAGTGGTTTAGGTTTTGTTCTTGATTTTGTATCTTGAATAGTTAAATACTTTTGGTAGAACTCGTCATTCAATGTTACAGGCATGTCATCAGTTGTGAGATTTAATTTTATCAATTTAATTATGAAAGGTTTTGTTTCTGGGTATTTATTTGTCAATGCAATGGTAGAGCCTTCATACGTTTTCGGTTTTACGCTTACCCTTGGTTGTCCGCATGCTCTCATTATACCCTCACAATCTATGCTGCTTAAAATATTCTCATGTAGCTTATCTAATTCTGTTAATTTCTTCTTCCTTGGCTTCTTTCTTTTCTTTTCAGAAGAGGAACTTGAGGTTGCTTTGCTTTTAACAGGACTTGTGGTTGGTGTGATTTCAGGTTTTAATGGAATGCTTGATAAAGGTTCTGTTATGATAGTTTCTGCAACTTTCTCATTGGTTTCACTATTATGCTCGATTTCAGCTTTGATTAATGGAGTATCATGCTTAATATCTGATTTATTTCCTTTGAAAATGTTTGACTGATGCTCATTTTGCCTTGTCTCATCTTCGCACTTAGGTTCCGTGATTTTTTCACTTTTTATTGTATTTTTAAGCAATAGTTCTTGCATTTTCTTCACTTTTTCAGCCCCAAGAACACTTATTAGTCCTTCAAGAACCTTTTCAGGATCATCTTCTTCATTTTCTAACAAATTTGTGAGAGCACTGGCTTTTGGGACCATTTCAAAAGCTGTTGATGATGTAGCTTCGTTTTGATCATGTTTGATATTTTGTTCTGCAATTTCATTTGTTTCTTTTTCTTTATCATTCGTCAATGTAGAATCAAATTTACTTGAAGACCCAACAATTTGATCACATTTGTTATTATCTTGTTCCTCCTCATTAAAGGTATCAATCAATTGGCTCTGAAGTTCTTCTGTGTGTTTCATGGTTTCAGTAGGTTCTAAATTTAATGAAGTTAATTTGCATAGTTCAGAATTATTTTTCTCAACTTCAATATCATCAACTGTTGTATCCATGGGCTTTGTTTCTTCAACTTCTTGAATAGTTTCTTTAGTTTTTATTTCTGCCTCAATCTCAATATTGCCTGAATTAGTAGATTCAATTTTGTCAACTGTATCACTTTGATTACCTTCCTGGTCTTTTACTTTTAAATCACACTTTGTTGTTTCACTTTTATTAATTTCTGGAATTTTTGATGCCTCGGCTATATTTTGAGAAGCAATTTTCTGTAATTTATCATTATCGATTTCCTTTTCTATTGATTCAGCACTATTATCACCAATTTTCTGTTTATTTTCTTCATCTTTTGATCTTTTTTCTTGTTCCTTACTCAAAATGGAAGTATTTGTTTTCTTAGAGTCCTTATCGTTGTTAACTCCTTTTGATGTTTTTGGTTCAGTTTTATTTGTATTCTTGTTCATTCCCAATTTTGGAATTTTAATACTCTGAATCTTCTTAATTGCTTCAGCAAGATTTACCGGAAGTGACTCACCTTCATTCTTATCTGCTTTATTTTTAACTGGCATAGATTGTGAATCATCAATCTCACTGTTGGAAGGAGTTTTATCGTCATTTTTCTGAACAACTTTAGTTGCAGTGTTCGAAGCATTTGCTTTAGCAATCTCAACATTTTTAGAATTACTTGCTTCGTTATCTGTTGAAGGTTTATTATCAGTTGAACTTTGTCCTTTGAGCGTTTCGTTGTTTGTTTGTTTCTCATTAGGTTGATAACAGCTTGATCTTCTTTTCGGCAATTGACGGGATGTATGAATAACTGGAGATTGAGAACGTTTTCTTTTGAAATTTGAATCATCTTTGCCTAAACTTTGATTTCTTTCGTTAAGAAATTGAGGTCGATCATTAAAAGTCATTGGAGAATGTCGTTGATTTAAACGACGTTGATTATTATCAAAGGAATGTCTAGAAAATGGTCTACCACGTTGAAAACCTCCTCTTCCTCGAAATGATTCTTTAAAATTTCGATTTAATTTTTCGTTGTAGTTTGGGAATCTCCCAGATCGCTCATCCCAACGTCCAGGTGATCTTTCACTTTCATCTTTTGGTTGAAACTTTATTGGTTGCTTGTCATTACGTATTTGAGGTCGGGAAACCCTTTCGTTTTCAGTTCTTGGCTTTACATTATATATGGTTGTAGAACTTGGGTCCATAGAGTTTCGCTTCCTTGGATCACGTTCCATAATGTTTTCGATAGTCTTTAAATCTTTAGGTATAATATTTTCAGTTGTTCCTTTACTAGTTGAAGGTGCTGGATTATTTTCTGGTAAGTTCTGTGAATTAAGAAGATTCCATTTGAATCAAAAGATATTCAACTAATTAAATTTACGTACAAATGTTCAAAAGATACATATTTTGTCACAGATAAGACTTACTAATGAGTTGTTGAGTGACCTTTTTTGAAATAATTTGTTTAAGAACAGAAAATATTAGAATCTTTATTTTGACATAAGGACATCACATCTCTTGCATGTGTACATGAGTCATTTACAAAGAGAAAGGTCAAATTACAATATTACTTATTAGCTCCAACACCATTACAGTTCTTAAAAATTTCTGACATCTGCTATTGCGTAATAATCACTAGCTTACATAAAAACACTTACACTTTTCTGCTTCGATTGACTCTTCAATGCAATTAAAGTCTTTTCCATTTGCTTAATTTTTTCATAAGACGGTCTCTTTTTATCAGACGTTATGCATTCATGCATAATTTTCCATTTTTCTTCAATATTGTTCCCCTTTACTTTGACCAACATTTCCTTCACAAACTCCAAGTGTGGGAATAAAATTTTCTTTTTTAGTTCTAGCGGATCAATACTCTTCTCATCCATTTTAAGGTTATGTCAAATTACGTTTACAAATATTTTAATGAGGCTCTTTTGATGGTTGACGATGAAATTGGAAACAACTTTTGACTAATTTTAATCTATTGAACTATTAACAATGCTTTTAACTTCTAGGCTAGTGGCAAAATCATAGAATCAACAGAAAATCAAAAATATATTTTAAAATGGTTACAATCTATGTCTCACACTTTACATCACTTTATGGCATGTTTATCAACATTCACAAGACTTTTACAACACATTTCCTTTATTTTTCAGGTAGCGTTTTAAAGTTTCTAGTTCACAAACTGCAACAGAAGTAATCACATTGAGAATTTTTGTTTAACAATAAATAATCAGTAGACCAAAATTGTTTAACCTTTTCACATACAGTCGTCGCTGTAATCGTTATAAAGAAATTAAAGAACCTTATAACCAAAATCATCTGTTCCGGTAAACAATTTCAAAATTTTCATATTTTTAAGATTATCTCATCAAGCATGTGACGACAAAAAGTTGAATTTTCATCAAATAATTGCAGCTTAATTCATCAAATGAGCTGTCAAATCATGTCTCACTTAAAATTCCAATTTCTGTGATTTTTCATATTGTATGTCTCTGATTTCCAAAACCTCTCAAATGAAATTCGCAGAACCATTGAGTTTGCTGATGATGTCAAATTTTTGTAGATTAAAATAATAAACCAAAAATAATTTAGCTTACTATAGATTAATTAACGAAAAATGGTACAGAAACGAAACACATTTTTGATACTTATACTTTGTATATTATGGTATATCTGTTCATCAACGAACAATGTCATAGGTAAGGACAATAATTTTTTTTTTCTAGAAAAAAGATGAAATTTTATTTAAAAAATTTTCTCCAAAAATGTTCAATTTTAGGCAAGCTCGTCCTCTCAGAATTTCCATATCCGATGACAGTGACGATGGTTCAATTATTATCCATAACTGTTTATAGCGGTCCATTCTTCAATTTATTTAACATAAGGAAATATTCTGATATGAATTGGCGATACTACTTCACATTTATAGTTCCACTGGCATTTGGCAAATTTCTTAGCTCCGTTACTAGTCATTTCTCTATATGGAAAGTGCCCGTCAGTTATGCTCACACAGGTCTGTAACATAATCTTTTCATCGATTTTTCCTGCGATTATGAAAACTCGCAATTTACGCATCCACAAATTAACGAAAAAAAAAAACGTCTCAAGTGAATTTAGTGAAAGTGAAATCCATGAATTATGAAATTTTTGTGTCTCTGTATGCTGTACGCAGCATGTTGTGTATTGTGTTAGACTCTCAAATTTATTTCTTCTATTAAATTGTATAAATGTTTGAGATAGACACAAACCTCTTTTTCATGATGTGACCTTACTTAACACACTTTTTTTTTCTCCCTATTGCATTACAGTCAAGGCAACAATGCCTCTCTTTACTGTCGTTCTGTCGCGAGTGATTATGAAGGAGAAGCAGACAACGACAATTTACTTTAGCTTACTACCGATCATTGCTGGTGTTTTAATCGCAACGTTGACTGAAATATCTTTTGATATGATAGGACTGATAAGTGCTTTGATTTCTACTTGTGGTAAGTTATCCTGTTTGATTCCTAAATGCTCTGGAATATCCGGGTATTGTTGTTTGATTATCATGAACTTGAGCAAGGGTACCCTTATTCTAGTGTCATGCATTAACAATTAAATATTAGGAACCCATTTAATATCTGGATATTAACTTTGCATTACTTCCCATTCCAGGATTCAGCTTACAGAACATTTTCTCAAAGAAGGTGCTTAAAGAAACTGGAATTCATCATTTAAGGTTGCTACACATTCTTGGTAGACTAGCTTTGTTCCTGTTTATTCCCCTTTGGATATATTACGACATGTTTAGCGTACTTTCACATACAGCTATTGTAAGTACAATGGAATGCACTTCATTTTTTATAGACGAACTTATCACGACCTTCTTTATTTACAGGCTAATTTAGATTATAGAGTGATTTCACTTCTATTTGCGGATGGCGTATTAAACTGGCTTCAAAATATTCTCGCATTCTCAGTGTTATCACTTGTCACACCCCTCACATATGCTGTAGCCAGTGCATCGAAGAGAATCTTCGTAATTGCAATTTCACTGTTTGTTCTTGGAAATCCAGTGACATGGATGAATATCGTCGGAATGTTAACAGCAATTATTGGTGTTTTGTGCTATAATCGAGCAAAATATTTTCAAAGATCACAAAAGACATCCCTGCCGTCATATGTTAATGATCAGTATCAAAAGCTCATACCAAACGGAACACATAATCAAAATGGAATTAATCAGAATCTTTTATTTAAGCCATCAAATTTAAGCAGTGGATCAAGCATGTTAGTCATGTAAAATTTTTATAATTAGTAGTTGAAAATTCGATATTACTAATAATGTTATCTTGATTTACAAGGTAATTTCATGTCCAGGAATGAATCATGTGATTTACAGCAAACGACTTTTTATCGTACAATTATTCCTACTTCCTTTTTTTTCCTTCTTCATTTCTAGTTCAATTTATTTTATTGAATGATTTTTTGTATAAAATATGATATGAAAAAAATTATTTCCCTTGTAGAAATTTTGTCAGATTTTCGCAAAACTTTGTTCGCGCCTTATCTTTAGCAGCCTTTGTAGATGCATCCTAATCTTTTTAGAGTTTTGAACAAAAGTTTTAAATAAATGCTTTTGGGAAGAAAATAAAAATCCGCTCAGATTCTGGCAAGCCTGAATTTGAGCGGACTTTTACAAAAACAATAGATTTGATAACTTTTCCAATCTTAATAAGATTCATGATAAAATAGCTGCTAATTACCTTAAGTATTGCTTCAAAACTAATCAAATATCCGATGAGAAATTATTGTCAATTTTCAGTATCTGACAAATCTTTTGTCATATTCTACCTCAAAACTTAAGATCCACGGAATTCCTAAAATTAATTCAATTATCTAGCATATCTTAGCACTCCTTCCACTATTTGTATTATCGTCCAAACCTTAAGCTTAAGACAAAATTTAATTAAATTTATATTCACAGACTTAAAGTCTAGAAAGTCTGTCAAAATTTCTATAAGGACCTTTAAGGCATATAACGATGAATGAACGTGATAGATTTTTTATTAGATAAAAATTTGTAATGATTTTATGTCGTGTGATGTTGTTGAAAGAGCATCAATGTATGAATTGTAAAATAATCTTATGGAATGAATGATTAAAGACAAAATAATTATTATTAATGATTTAATTCAAAATTCGTGCCAGAAGTGGTACTTATGTTTTTATGTTGTATCATTTTATAAAGTTTATGCGATAAGTGAAACAAAAAAATTGATGCCTCGAATCGAAGGATACAAAAGAATAATTAATTAAAGTAATAAAATTCTGTATATTGATTATTTCACCAAGTCAAAAATTAAATCTTTTTAATACAATTTGCACTGATTATATCGACTCAAAAAATCCCGTCCATGAGACAAACTTTCTAATTTCACATCACAATTAGCAAATCCATTGAGATGAATAGCTGCATAATCTGAACAATCTATTACATTATCGTCGTTACAATCTTTCGCATATTTTATCATGTAATTTGTGATGATTTTTGATGCACACGGGTAGTCACTCGCACAGTCTGAAAACGAATTTTCTCTGTTTGGATTGTCGTCAGGAAAGACAACCTTTCCAGCATCTGCCCAATAGATTCTAGATATGTAGAATGGACCTAAGGAACCAGAATTATAAATATTTCGTGGCTTGGTTTTATCTTTTATAGATATTTACCACAATATTCATTCTCACATCCTCGAAGAACATTACAGTTCGTAAGTCCAACGCAAATACATCGCAGACAAGTTGCATTCAAATTTGATAAGTAAATTTCTAAACATTTATGCTTGTTAATTCGCTGGATGTACAAATATTTATAATAATTACCAGGTTTGATCGGTTTAAGGAAACAGAATAGCATCAATATAGTCAAAACGTTCATGATTCTAAGGCACTTCTTATAATCTATAGCACTAAAAACCAACTGACTTAACAAAAGCAATTTACTAATTACTTAACTGCTGAATAATTCAAAGAGTAATTGAGATAAATTATTTATTTTTTGGGCAATTGAAAGTGAAGCTACTTCCAATAACTCTTCAGAATTTTTTATTATTATTTCATTTCGTCTTATGCCTTATAAAAATGCAATGAAGCCTGATGGAAGTAAACATTTAATGCTTACCCTTCTTCTTCTTTTGCTGATGCTTTCTTTGCTGTTGTCTTGGTCCTAAAACCTCTTCGCGATTCGTTGGTGTTTTAACATTTTGGCCGAGATTTTGAGCTTTCGTCATGTCACTAAAGGATTTTAAAAAAGTTATTAATCATGTCTTAATTATTCACAGTAATTAAAATACTCACAATTGATCAGCCTGTCCTGAAGCCATTCCTTGTGATCCTTTCATAACTTCCTTTACTCTACGATCCTTCTTCTTTCTATATCCAGTTCGTTCTTGTTTAGGCAACCATCTTTCTGGATCTGGCTTAGCATTTGCATCGAAATATTTAGGCAACTTGTTCTTTCGCTTCTTTTTCTTGTTCTTCTTTTGAGTTAAGTCACTTCCTGGAGTTCCAGGTGATTGATCAGACTTGGCAGTCTTCTTCTTTACTGCCTTTGCAATCATCATCCAGTTTGTTGCTTCCAATTCATCAATTTCAGCTTGAGTTGTCAATGTTTCAAGTGCTGGTAATTTCTTTGATGCTTCTTGTGCCTTTTTAGGATCAAATTGGGCATAAGCAATGACTAACTGAGCCAAAATCTTCATGTCTGATGGATTTGAACGGAATAATTCCTCCAAACTCTTTGCAGCTGTTTCAGCTTCGCCACCTCTCAAATGGAAATCAGCAGCTTGTCTCCACATGTCAGATAAATCTCCAGCAGTTTTGTTCTTATTGTTTTTATACCAATCGACAGCATTTTTAAGAACTTCAGAAGCAGCTTGCTTATCATTGCTGCCTAAATAAAGCGAAACAAGTGCTGAAACAACGCCTGGACTGAATTTTCGGTCATTATCCAATGATTGTAAGACATCAATTGCCTTAGATTTGTTTCCAGACATAAGATGTAATTGGATCAATGCGAAATTGATGTCTGAAGATAATTTTGGATTTTTAGCAACAAACTTTTCCAAAACTTCAGATGCTTCCTTATATTTCTTGTCTTTCATATACTGACAAGTCTGGATTAAACTTGCTTGATATTCTAAATCAGGATATTTAAGAACAAGCTTGTTGACAAGTTGAGCTAAATCTCCTTGATTCGTGTAAAGTGCCAAGATACAGTTATTGACAGCAATAGATTTCTTCTGACGATTATTCAGCTTATGCTCAACAGCATCAACCATTGCAGCACGAATTTTCTTCTTTGAATCAAAGACATTTTGATCCTTGTTGATAACAACTGAATTATTGGATGCAACAGCCACAAGTGCTGGATCATTAGGCTTATTTTTTAATGTTTCAGCATAAATGATGGCAGCTTCTTTGCCTTTTCCTTGCATTTGAAGACAGTAAGCCAATTGTACACGAATAATAGCTAATTCATTCTCAATATCCGCTTCTGTCATTGTTTCGTCCTCTTCTAAGAATTCACGGCACATCTTTTCGCTGATTACTAATTTCTTTTCAGCTTCTGTATACTTTCCAGTTCCAGATAAAGCAACAGCTGAATTATATACCAATTCATAGGTATTTTCACGGAAATCGGGCAATTTCTTATCAGTTCCTTGAATAGCCAAATTAGCAGCAACAGCAGACAAGTTCGTTGTTCGTTCTTCCTCATAATCATCTGTAGAATTCTTGACTATGTCTCGATACAAATTATAGCTATCATCATAATGTTCCAATCTATAAAGCACTTGAGCCTTTAATTCCTTCAAATTTGGTGGAAGTGGGTTAATCTTGGAATTCTCAATCGTCTTTAATGCCTTTTCTGGTGTATTAAGGCGATATTCACAGTAAGCCTTTTCAAAAACTAATTCCTGAACATTTGGGCATTTTTCGACAAATTTTAAAGCTTCATCAAACTTTGACAGCTGAATCAATGAAACAGCTTTACATTGTGCTGCTTTAAGTTCTTCTGGTGCAATGCTCAAGACTAGAATTAATTTATTTATTTTACTGGATCATAAACAAGAAAGGTTAATGTAAAATTTCTCACTTTTATTGGATGCTTTTACAGCTTTATCATATTCTCCAGCTTGCCCAAATTTGTTGAGTTCCGTATAATATTGACGGATATTCAGCTCTTTCTGAGCTTCTCGCGAAGCCATTATAAATTATTTATTTTAATTTTTTGATTTTGACAGAAAATTGTACACGAAGACACTTTTTTCAAGTGTGGAAGTCACTTTTTACGCATGGAAGTTGAAAAAATTAACGGTTGAGCAAATTTTAAAAGTCACAAGATTTAAAAGATGGAATTGTTTACTAATATTAATCAAGTAAAAAGCCTTTTAGACAAGGTAATTTTGCAGACATTAGAGCTAGTTGAAGAGGACCTAACATTAAAAATCAGTATTGAGAAGCTATCAAATGAGGGAGCTTTAAATTTAGCAAAAACAAGGTAATTTTTAAAATTATTGTGAAATTTCAGATTCTGATAATAATCATTCCTTTATCTATTGATTCCAAGAAGCTTATCCAATGATATCAAATCATATCATGATCCAGGACTATCACTAATTTATTTAAATGACTTTTTAGATACACGCAAGGATCAAATTCAGTGTCAACAACACAACTTCCCTCAGAAGATGAAGAGAAGGAATTTAAGGCTTTACGTACTGTTGAGAGAAATGAGAATGACATAGCTGTACAATTTACATTAGAATCCCATGAAATTGATAAGGATAATGATTACATAGATCCAATGCTTTGGTTTGGAATTTTAACGCCCCAAACTCTCAAGACTGCTCGCGAAAAGTATCAAAAAGCCATTGAATTAAGTGTAGAATCAGCAAATGTTCGACAACGCATAGCTAAGAACACTGAATTAATCCAGAAGTTAAAAATTGTAAAGCAACAGTTTGAGACAAGCGAAGAATAAAAAGGCTTTAGATTAATTTTGAGATATTACCGAACACTCTGACAGTTAATTTTATTTTTCTTAAAAACTTATCATCTTACATCAAATTCCTTAATGTCTATCTAACATAGTCATTCCTTTAAAAAAACAATTAAATAATTAAAACTGAAACAAAATAATCGGGAACTGAGGCAATAAATTAATCTCGTCAATCACACAAATCATATTACTGGTTAAATTCTATGTTGATACTTTCTTACGTTTCTTCTGAATTTTTCTATATCCTGCAAAGACATAAAACATTAATTTTATTAAATTATGTTTTATAACGAACTTTTTAAATTTGAATTCAAAATTTAAGACCGATGAATTCAAATATTTAAATATGAAAAAACGTTAAATAACGGCAATGATAAATGCTTACCTTTTCCAAACCATCCAGCTTTTGTGACAGTCCGAATTACAGTATTTGAAGACTTGTCTTTATCATCATTATTTGTAGTCACTAATTTAGAGTTTTCTTCTTCATTAATTTGTTCCTCCTCGTCTTCATCAGTATAGTCACAACACTCGCAAACTATAAGCTTTTCATTACGATAAGTAGTAATCTTAAATTCCCGATTAATGGGCTTGTAGAATTGACAAATCATAGCTTCATATTTATCGTAACAAAATTTACACTCTGCCTTTGCCGCCTTTCGTTCAATCACAGTCGAACTTCTCAATTTTTTACCATTAAGCATGTCTTCGTGATTTTTCCATAAATTTGCATCATCTGGCGGTAAGTTTACGATCGTATGCAGTCCCGAATATGCATAATTCACATCTGACCATTTCGGTAGGTTATCGTTTATTGCCTTACAATAATTTGCAAATAATTGCTTATAATACTGCTCTGGAGTCTCATTCAATTGCCTTGTTATAGACGATGACGTTGTATCTTCCTCATCAGACATATCGTCACTGTTTACCATCTCAATATCGTTTTCATAAAAATCATTCCTTACTACGTTACTTTTATCACAGATTGGTCTGGATTGTGAATTCATAATCGAAGAACCATTCATCGTACTTGGATTTAAGCCATTCGAATAAGGCAAAAGATTAAGATTATTTGTTAATGTACTTATAATTTGATTGTTATAATTCAAAATGAGTGCCGTGGCTGTTAATGCCTCTTTTGATGTCGTTTCGATTGGCGCAAATGCAAGTGATGCAGTCAGTAAACTGTTATTAAGTAATGCCATATCAATTAAATTTTGATTCTGTTGTAAAATTATATTAGCAATACTAGGATCACTTTTGACTTCCTTCTTGATTGTTGTGGCTTGTTCTTCTTCCTTAATTAATTTTGATTCTAATATTACTGGACTGGGTGGATTAGGTTCTGATACTTTAATTTGTTCTTCTAATTTCACTGGCTCTTCTTGTTTTACAACAATATTATTTGAGTCTTTTGGCTGTTCTGTCATTTTCACTTCCAAATTATCGATTAATTCCTCAAAATCAATTATTTCCTCTTTTGGCTCAACATATTTATTGTTTTTTCTATGTCCATTGATTGTTATTGGCTCATCTTCTGTTAAATCTACTGTTTCTTCGATATCCTGCTTAATTGATATCAACTTACCATTCTCGTGTGTCGTTTCTATGCTACCCGTTGTCTCAATCTTAATTTTTACTTCCTCGACATCATCTGAGTTGTCTATTTTGTTCGTTTGGATTTCTGTTGATATCTGGCTGACTTCTGTTGATTCCTGACTTGCCTCAGTCAATTCCTCTACATTCTCATGACAATTTCCTGAATTTTCATTACTTTTTATTGCATTTAATTCCAAATCCTGATTAGTTTCACTCTTTATTACACCCATAAATGTATTAATTGATTCTGCAGATTGCGATTGATCTTCAGACTCATTTGATAATGTTTGTTTATCGGAACTTAATGTATTTGTGGATTCGTCGTTCTGATTAAAATCCTCATCGTCGTCGTCTTCATCCTTATCATCGTCTATATTTTTAACTCTTTTAAGCATAGGCTGTGAGGCTGTATGAAGTTCTTCTTCCTTTAATAATGATGCATGCTGAAAAATTGGATCTTCAAGTCGATCATAAATTGGAACTACTACAGTTAAATACTTCATAACAATCTGCATGACTTCATCACACTTTCCATTAATTTTAAGCGATGCTATAGAATCTTTTGGTGTCCATTGAAGATTTACGATATAAACTTTTGGACGTTGTTTTACAGGCTTATCTAGAGCCCAAAGCCACGGATATTTCTTTAGCACTTTTAAACTTGATCCTAAACATAAAATTACATCAGCCTTCTCAACAGCTTTTGTCGCACCATTCCAATTGAGTGGCCATTTTAATGATCCTCGTTCACCGAAATGCACAATTGTGTCTATTAATGGATTAGCACATACACGACATCGTCGATTTGTCTTATGTTGAAATCTCGATGTTAACGGTGTTGTATCAAATAATCTCCAATATTCTAATGCAGGTTTACAGGATTTACAGACTTCAACATACATATTGCCATGAAGTTCGGATAACGAGAAACGAGGAAGTCCAGATCTTAAATGAAGTCCATCACAATTCTGAGATACTACATATTTAAGTATGTCCCTCCTATGTAATTCATATAGTGCCATATGTGTAAATGTTGGCTCAGCCAACGATAAGTCATGATCTCCAATTTCCTCTCCTTTTTGCAGCAATGTCCAGATTCCTGAATATGAAAACTTTTAATTATAGATTTTAATAAAAAGTATAATGTTAGACTTGCCTTGGGGACCTCGATAATCTGGGATTTTAGCAGAAGTGGATATTCCAGCACCTGAATAGACTACGAGATGTTTGGCATTTGAGATCACAGAAGCAAGCTTCTTTGCCTTAGCTTCTAATATTTCGGCCTTATCTTCCTTTTCAAGAGCTCTATCTTTGTACTTTTCTACACGTTTTGCTCGTTCTACAACTTCCTTTACTACTTCTGGATGTTCGTCGATATATTTTGATTCCTCTTGTGTTCTGGAATTGTCGCATTTCTTTAAAATTGCTGCAATCTAAAAATATCCCAAAATTAATTTTATATATGCACAAATTAATGCTTAAATTGACTTACTTTTCTCTTTTTAAATGCCTTTTCTCTCTTTTTGGCTACAGGATTTGAATCCTGATTTTCTCTTTTTCTAGTTTGCCGAATAAATGAAATTTCATCCATTTTCCTTAGAAAAGTCATAAATGAAGTATTTTGTTCATCTCTACTTAATGCAATTCACGTTAATTAATCTCACTGACGATACTAAAACAATTCTAAACTGTTGGAAATGACTTAATTTTAATAAAATTAATTTTTTTAGTGTCCTATTCAGAAGTAAACATAAAAGTAGTGCAACGCGTGGATACTCGAATAAAATTGCCCTTGAAAATCCGTTAAATTTTTAAGTCACGTGGAACGTATAATTTATTGAATATTCAATTGATTCTTATGAGTTTAATTAGAGGAGCGCAGATGATTGTAATGGATGATAATTGTGAATTACTTTATGAAAATTCGAGTGCATCTGCCTGTTTTGGAGACTGAAATTAGGAGACTTTCTCTTTATTATTTATGAAATTTTAATCAATTTTGATAAAACAATCGACAATTAAATATGTTTTAGTTATAAATCATCACTAAAGTAAGCTAAATCGACTAAAACATGCTGAGAAGAATCAAAAAATAATTTTATAAACAACGAATTTTTAAAATTCAAACGAGAGTTCCCAAAAAGTTCATTGCTCTTTGTTTATCAAGTTTATGGCCCGTGTTTTGGCTTCAGAAAAATTTAATTCAAATTAAATGATCTAATTTAGAGCTATGGACGATATATTAGCAGGACAGAATAACTTAAGAAATGCTCTTACATCATGTGACGATCCATTGAAAGCCATAGAAGCATTCCAAGTAAGTAATTTCATGTTTTTCATTATTTTACCGATGTTTACAATATTTTTCCCGCTTATCAATTCCAGTTAAGAAATGGAGTTACATTTCCTTCATTACGACCAATGCTTCCTTTACTGGATCTTCATATGATACCTCGATTGGATTTTCACACATCAATACTTGAGGAATTGAGAGATAAATTAATCCAACAAATAAATGAAACAAACACAAAAACTGATGTTAAGGATAAAAAGTTGAAGGAACTATTAAATAAAAGCTTTGGATTAATTCGAATCAAACAGCTTCGTCCTGCAGTTATGGCAATTTTAAGAAATATGAAACAGATTGATGACAAATACTTGCGAGTATTAGTCCGCGATCGAGAACTTTATGCTGCATGTGACGTTGAAGTTAAAAGACAAATCTGGAGAGATAATCAGAGCTTGTTTGGTGATGAAGTATCACCCGAATTGTCACAATATATTCGAATAAAAGATACAATCATTTATGATCATTTAAATCTAAACAATTTGTTCTTCTCGCCATCACCAAAGAACAGACGTCAGGGAGAAGTTGTACAAAAACTAGCTCATATGATTGGATCATCTGTTAAGCTTTACGATATGGTCCTTCAATTCCTTCGAACACTATTCTTACGCACAAGAAACGTTCATTATTGTACATTACGTGCTGAACTGCTTATGGCTCTTCATGATCTCGATATTCAGGAAATTATCTCAGTTGATCCATGCCATAAATTTACGTGGTGCTTAGATGCTTGCATTAGAGAGAAGCAAGTCGATATTAAGAGATCACGTGAGTTGCAAGGCTTTCTAGACAACATTAAAAAAGGTCATGAACAAATTTTAGGTGATTTGTCAATGACTTTATGTGATCCGTACGCAATCAATTTCTTGGCAACATCAGCTATTAAGATTTTACTGCATTTAGTCAGCATTGATGGATTGCCAAGAAGTAACCAAATTCTTATTTTGTTGCTACGAATGCTATCATTAGGATTATCAGCATGGCGTATGATTGATACTCAAGATTTTAAGGAATCAAAGTTTGACATTCAAATATTGACGAAATTCCTGCCTGCATTATCATCACTTATGGTTGATGATCAAGCTCGTTATTTCCATTCTCGATTACCACCAGACGAGCGAGCAAACGCTTTAGTTGTAATTGATCATGAAGGTCCAGTTCCAGAGGCAATAGAAGCATATATCCAAGAAAGTTCTGTTGCATCAATCCTAACTATGTATTATGCACTGCATGTAGCTAAACAAAAGGATCGAATTGGACTATTGAGAATCTTAACAATATTGTCATCATGCAAAGATGATCGAGCTTATGAAGATCCATTCCTGCATTCATTAATCGCATACCTAATTCCAATGGCTGAAGAATTTTCGAATGAAGAATTTTGTACAGGATTATTTGATGGATTTTTATTTGCCGGCCTGAATCGTGATAATGTCAGCAAGCATATAATGAAGTTGCTATGGTATATTCATGCAAAGATTAACAGAATTCGATTAAATACCGTCATTAAGGCCATTGAACCAGATTATGCAAATGAACTGTATGACGCATTAGTCAAAAAAATCGAATTGATACCAGAACCCATGCAAATTGAGACTAATTAAGGCATTTGAATTTATGGAATAGGATTAAGGACAATTTTAGGTTTTAAGCTTTGATATAAAAATTTATAAAGAATATATTAAAATGTAATTAAAGAACTTTGAGATATTTTATCAGGAACGGTACAAAGAATTTCAAATTGCAGCTTAATTTCCCCTAATTTTCATGATAAGCTATGAAGATTTCCATAACTACAGAATGTCAAATCTACATGCTTAATAATAATAATTTAATTAATATTTTAATCGCACTTCAAGTCACGACTTTCATTAATTATTGTCTGATTAGTCAGGAATTTAAAAAGAGAGAATCGTAGCTAATTTCTCCAGTTTGTTGCTCAATTTCCCTTTCCATATTCCATTATATTGAGCTATGGACATCAGTTTTTTTTTGGAACTGGATGTAATTGATGACGATTTGTCTGGCTTGAATAGGATTTGGTGTCTTACTCCTAGATGTTAATGATAAGATATGGTTCGGCTCCTAATTTTTTTTTACAATGTCTAGTAGACAATTACAAGATCCAGTAAACATTTTAAAGTACCTTCATTACTAATGCGCTTCATGCACAACAACAAGGAACTACAGACGGTTTTAAACGTTAGAAAAGTTTTAGTCAGTTCAAGTTCCTTCCTTAAATTTATTTTTATTCTAGGCACTGAGTGATCAAGATGTCTATAATAAATCAAGTTAAAATAAATTGAATCTCCATTAAACACAGCTGATCTCAAAGATTTATGAAAATCTATTTAATTTAAGTGACAATTAGTGACGGAAATAAGTTTTTTAAGCATCAAAGAAGTGATCCTTTTCGTGAGAATTTAAACAAAGTGTAAAAAGATTTTTATTAATTAAAATTGACGGAACTAGATATATCTAACCATGCCACAGGAATTTCAATCGTCCGTGCGAACATACAAATATCCTTTCGAGTTGGTGATGAAGGTAAAGTATTGTAAATTATTAGTGATCTAATCGAATAAGAAAAGTGGAAAGTTGGTCTGATAATTTAATTAAATTATTCACAATGAGAATGAGTGCTGCTTCTAGTTGCCATTTATGATTTGTGTATTGAAATATTCAAAACATACGATAGCTAGTAATAGCGGATTAATGAAAAAATTAGTGAATTAAAAATGTTTGATGGACGTAAATGGAAGGAAGGAGGGAAAAACAAGCAGCATAACACATGAAAAAATGACTAGAGAGAGAAGAGGAGGAAAAAATCGATGTTGTTCTACTTATTTGACATTAATTTAACATGTTTAAGAATTAGTAACTATAGATAATTAATGCTCACGAATTAATAAGTTTGCGATTTCTCATGGATGTTAGTGCTTACAAGTAGCCTATAATTTTCCTCATTCCGTCCTCAAACATGAACAAAAAAAAAACTTTATCAATGAAACGAAAGAAAAAAGAGCGAAAATGGCAAGGTCGTTGTTTATAATGGGGTTGGTAGCGACGCTGAGAGACAAGGATGAAAATTGGGGAGGAAAAAAATGCTCTCATCCAACTGACTATGAGTATTGTTCTATGTCAAGGTCTTTATGGAGGATGATGGAGGATTTCTTACTTTGTATGAGCCTTTTTTCTTGCGCACGAAGCAAAGAATTCATACATAATATGTTTAAAATTAAAAAATTCCTTCTTTTATATCTACTCCACCCTCAAATATGCTCCAACTTAAGTATATATATAGCAATGACATTTTCAAGTTCACGATTATTATTACGGAAATATTCATTCACTCGTTCGCATAAAACAGTTTACAGTAGAATAAATCGTAAGTCGTGACACATGTACATATGTGAATAAAAATGACTACTATCATATGCAATAGGAAGTTTATGCAGTTCTAGAACGCGTGATTGACGCGCATTTTCCACTACTTTCAAGCTTGATCCGATTTAAAGCCACAAGTTTACTCCAGTTTCATTATGATGCTGATTCATTTTATGTGCTCGAGTGCTGCTGATAAGGATGAGTGATTGAAAAAAGGGGGATTATTGTAATGAATATCAAGTACAATTGAGTCATGCTGCATTTATAGGCCCAGACAAACACTCAAGTTCAAAAATTTAACTTTAATTTTCCGTTAAATTTTTATGATCTTCAAACTCAGTTTTGTTCACTAAATTGAAGCTTCCCATTCATTTTTTCTGTCCACATTTGGGACATTAAATGCCATTTGTACCCAATTAATATATACATAAACATAATAGTCATTAAAAAGGAAGCAAGTCAGTCGACGAAAGTGAGTAATGAGTAGCACAATCAACACGAATAACGAGATAAAGACAGCTTTTTATTTTTATTACACCCCATTTATAGAACGCTATGTGATAACTTTTTGACATTTCTTTGTGCCTTCTTGCCTACAAAAGTTAAATATTATTGTCTTTTTTTTCTTTAATTTGCAAAGGCTTACGAGCGTCGTTTTCCAACTTGTCCCGAATTCATGCCGATTGTAATGGAAACGATCATAATAGAAGATGAAAGTGATGGGCCAAGACGACGAACCAAGAGACGCTGTAGATTACGGGTTGAGGCCCCTTACATATTCAAAAAGATTATTGGAATTGAATCTGCATTATTTATACAAGAGAACTTTCTCGACTTTAAGGAACGAAAGCTTACAATTGAGGCAACTAACGAGACATTCTCGTCACGTATAAAGATATTTGAAAAATGCCGCTATTACGTCCATCCTGACAATGAAAATTGGACTTGCTTTGATCAAAGTGCCAATATTGAGATTACAAATTTCTTTGGATTCGAGCATCAAATGGAGAAAGTGGGCATGAAACAATACACACAAATGACACTGAAGGGAAAAGAAATAATTGAGCATTTTGTGAACGATTTGAAAGAAGAAGGAATAACACATGTTGACAAATGGATTGACCTCGAAGGAACTGAAATCGAATGCAGTAGCAAGAAAGATGAATCGAATGAAACAAGCGAGTTAATTAAAGAACAACAGAGATTGAATGCTGATTATATTAAAAATCATCTCGGTGAACTCAGTCCACTACAAGAATCAAGACTACTTCAAATGCGTAAAAAATTGGAAGATCAACATCTTGATAAAGTAAGTAATTGACGATAATTTAATTTATTTTCGAATAATATCGCCGTCAATTTCGTCAGATTGACGCCTATAAATTTATTTTTATTCCCTCATTTCCATAGAATAATTATTCTCATATCGAGATCTTCTTATTTGTCTGAAAATTTGTATCTCTTTCGTGCTTATAACTTGAAATCTTGAGTTTTTTATGTAACGTATATTTTAAATTTAAAATTTTGTACTAGATTTTAAATTTGAAAAGTCTGTTAAAAATTACTATTCGACATGTGAGAGCCTTTCCAACGAATTTACAAAAAATACAGCATAAATGTATAATAAAGTAACTGAATACCTCGATATATATGACCAACTCTCGAGCATGGTGCATCAACCATTTTACCATGACATTGCCATATTTTGAAGCTCAACTCATACTGCTCGCCTCCCCAAATGTCAAGTCCTAGATATTACTCAGAATGTCATTTGATTCGATTGTAATTAAATATTTTACCTGGATCGTAACCACCCAATTCCCAGAAGAACTTAGATGAGATTCCAAACAGGCCTCCCGCGGCTAAATTACGGCTTAGTATAAAAATTGTTAGGTTCAACGTTCTTGAAATGTTCCTCGGATGTTCTAAAGCTTAAATCCAATTTTTTTGCGAATAGACGTTCAGCACATGAATGATCCTTCTTAGTTTTCAAAACTTTATTTTCAGGACGTCCAGCTGCGTCACCAACAAAGAATGAGGATGTCATGTCAATCTTTACTCCATCATTAAATCGATCTTGAAGTAGTTCCCACATTGCAATTCGTGGCTTTCTATACTTAGTTGAAGCAACCACTCCAATGAGTAATAAGATTTTCGGGTGATTATGATAGCTAAAAATACATGAAAAAGTCCTTTACTTAAAAACTCAAAATTTAGTGCTTTATAATTGGATTTCTCTTACCTGTTTCTCACTGTTAGTATCTTAAATGCTCTATTAATCGTTGTTATAATGCAAATGTCGGCGTTTTCATCAGATTCCTTTGTTATACTGACTATTTAATTTTTTTTTCCATCTTTCCGTTAAAATATTGTTTACGTATGTGATTTCAAAATTCCACTTAGCTAAGACACACACCAAAAATCTAGTCCGTCAATTTTTTTACAAATTTAAATTATTTCAAACCGTTATTAATTTAAAAAATGAAAATGTCCACCAGGAGTAACGGTCAAAAGGATTTCAAATAACATAAGTTTAGAGCAAGATATTAAGATAGAATCGATAAAGAATATCAAAACATAATTAATAAGCGTTTAACTTAATGTAGACTCTATAACAGCCAGCTGATATAATATATATGCCAGAAGACTTCAAAAATGGAGAAAGTAGCCATGTTTGGCCGTGGGAAACAGTTCTTTTTGCAAGAAGAACCTATTAAAGGATAGTAAGTGTTTATAGTCAATAAACTTACGATTTACAATATTTAATTTCAATATTAATACCATTTTTAGTGATCCAAAAGATGGAAAGGAACTGCCGTATCTTAATTATACTGCCTCTCATAAAATGCTTTCCAAACTTACTAAGAAGAAAGCAGAACAAAGAGATGAAGTATTTAACTTTATTAAAGTTTTTTCAAAATATGAAGATTTACATGATGTTTTTCGATGGCCACCAAACTACATGGAAACCATTGGTACCATGGCAGAAGAATTAAAAATTGAAACTCGTGAGTTATTTTCTTTAAGTGCCTATTAAAATAACGAATTTCAAAAATTCGAAACCTCATTTTTCGATTGTATCATTTTTTCGACTATTTTTTTTCTTCGTATTTTTTTCAAATTTTCAAAAACCGTTACCTGTAAATTTTGCAGTTATTAAATTCGTTATGTTAATAGGCACTCATTTCCTTCATCTACTATTAGGTTCTTTAACGGTTTTTTAATATTTCAAAAAATAACTTAAACTTCCTATTTAATTCAAATATTTAATTACTGTTTTAAATTTTTAGCCACATTATGCTACGATATAATAGTCTCACGAGTCAATTGTTATCGCAGAAACATAAGACATAACAAACCGTACATGTATAGCGAGCAGCTGGCATTCCTTAATGAATTTTTATTTTATGAAAATTTATTCTTCTGTACCATTGCATTTAAAGACAAAATCAGCACAGAGGGCAAAAAGGAAATAAAAAAAAGAAATTATCTCAGACAGAAAAAGGCACATGCAGCGTTATCAACAACCAGCAAAAAATACTGCTTCATGGAATTCAGAGATGTTTCGCCTATAAAAGTCGAATATGTTCCAAAGCTTCGTGGACGCATAAATACATTAAATTTGGCAATGTACTTGAATCAGTAATCGGACCCCTCATAAGTTTTTTATACCCTATAGTAAACTTTTTCGTCATTTAAATTTTAAAGTTTTCATCCTCTTAATACTCACTTCCAATTTTTTGCTAATAAAAAACAAAAACTTATGAAGCTTAAATCCCTATTTTATTCATTTTATTCATTTATTTATGCATTTTCTTCCTTATTCGTCTTGATTAATTTCAGAGTCAAATGATCTACGTCAACACCATTCTCAATAAAGTCGAAAGACGATTTGAATAAAGTTGATCCTACAAACCCACGTAGAAAGTTGCTCACCTTTTTAATCTCTTTAGTCTTACCATCTAACTTCACAAATTTTGTAATTGTCTTCTTTGACTCTGAATAATGAGCTGTGATCATAAGAAATAATAAACGCTAAAATAATTTTCATTAATTAAACTAGGCATTACGAAATTTGAAATTAGTATTACCTGTTCCTTTTAACTTCTGAAAATTAGTCATACTCGTTGAAATTGAAGCAACACCAATGGAGTTGTAAAGACTAGAAATTGCGAAAATTTCATTTAATATTCTGTCCAAGATGTCAACATATTCCATGAAATTTATTATTTTAAATTTCTTTTTGATTGCAGTCACCAGCAAAATCGCTAGTTCTTGGTAGCATTCGTATCCACATGGAGTAGCATCCGATCCATTGATAATTTTACTTACAAAATGAGATTTTAAATGAGTAGAAAACTGTCCGGGGAATAATTTAGCACAAAGGTAGCACGGTGCTAAAGTTTTTACTTTCAGGTACACTACCAGCGAGTATAGTACTAAAGAGAATGCATCTGGCTTTACATACGGTACAGATCTGAATAAAAATGCGTCAAAAGGATTAAAATTTTTGAAGGTTGTGAAGTATAACAATCCTGTGCTATTGAAGAAGTCTTTTACAGCCGGTTTTTGTCCTAAATCATTTGTGTCGTTTCCAGAAACTCCCATACATGCAGCAATATGGATTGCTATACGCTCAATCAGCATTACGACACTATATCGGCCGATATATAAAATTGTTTTTCTGTCAATTTTGTGATAAAGCTTGTCGTTATCTTTATATCGGTCACACATTATAGATATCCTTCCTGGCTTGACATTGCTATGGATAGTACATTCAGACAAACCGACTAAAACATTTAAAAAAACTAATTAATATACTAAACATTTCAATTAATTTCTAACGGTCAAAATTAAATTGAATTTTTTTAAACATTTGTATATTTTCATGCTTTGAAACCTCACAACAGTTTTTTATAAACTCATAAAACCTCTAAATAGTGTCTCAAAACGGTACATTTTTGCCAAAAACATACAAATGTTAAAAATTCAAAATAAAATTTAACGAGTTTTTTTGTTAAAAGTGTTCTACATCAATTTTTTTGGGAATTAGGGGTTTTAATTTAGAAAAATATTCACCCTTTCCGTATGTATAGTCCTTGCCATAAAGAATCAATTGCTGTAAGAACAAACATACAATTTTCATGACGCACGGCAAATCTGTTTCATCCATGACTAATTTTGTGAGACTTTTCACATTTCCTTCGATGGCGTACATCTTCTTTGAGCGTGAAGAATTTTCTATCGGCAAATTTTTCAACAATTCGTTAATCGGTTGTTCCTCTGCTTTGATGTCGAGCCAATCAGCAAGATTCTAAATGAGAGAGGTTAAAAAAAAGTAAGACGAGAGAGAAATATGAGTAACATCATAAGTATTCATGATTTTTAAATGCATACCTTCACTTTTTTTATCATTTCTTCTTGTGTTGACACGAATAAATTTAGTAGCTCTTCTCTCGTCATAGCATTCACTGTCTGTCCCTTTTCAACAGCAATTCGATACTTCTCTAGTAAACTGTTTCTTCTCCGAATCAAACCAGTAACTGTACGGAACTCTAATAGTTGTGGCGAAAACGGCAATTCAAAACCACAAAAATTGATCCGAGCTGGTTCAGATCGACCAAAAATGTAAGAGCCTTCTGCCTCTAGCAAGCTACTTGGCACTGAAACTTTCATGCACTCATGATGAGGTACGTGACTGTCTATAATAATTTTTTTTCCCAGGTCAATTTCATTGATGTTAAACATTTTACATGAAATGCATCCATCTTCGTCTTCATCGTCATCATAATCATTTTCGTCCATGCCGTTCTTCTTCGTTCTTCTACTGTCAACTTTACTGCTCAATCTTCCCTGATCAATGTCATCAATCACGTATCCTTCTTCTTCTTTTATTTTTTCATCTTCAATGTCTGGTATGACTGGACTATTAGGTGCTAATTTCTTCACTTTTTTTTCAGTCGTAGCTGTTTGATCCACAATTAATAAAGAAGAAATCTCCTTTTTAGTCTTTTCCTTTAGAATTGGATTTTGGAATGCATTTGAAGGAGATTCATAGCTCGAGACCTTTGATTCCTCCATGTCTTGATCATTTTGATCAACAAGCAAACCAGACGGGCAAATTGTTTGTTCAGATTCCGTTAATTCTTCCACAATAATTGTTAGTGGTGTTGATTTTAGTGCTTTCCTCGTTTCCATCATCCCCATTATGCTCATTTTTCTGCTTTTTAAAGCATCCTTAACTAAAGGACCTAGCATTTCCTCGGGATCTTCACCTAATTAATAAACAAAAATCTGTTAGGATGTATATCCAAATTAAAAACGTTAATGCTGTGTCACTCACTTTTTAATGCTGTGATGTAAATCAGATTAAGTTGCACTTTCCACGCAAAAAGTTTCTCTCGGATGTCATTGAAAGAATTGCCACCAGGAATTTTATCCATTAGATTTAACAGCTTGATTTTAATCTCGTCATGCTGTAAAATCACATCCTTGGCTTTAAAACAGACACAATCCGACACGAACGCATTAATACTGCTAAAGATAGGAGCATGTTTGAGCAATATTTTGTTCCGGATTTCCATGTTCTCAATTTCCTTGATGCTGAATGATAATGTTGAATAAATAAAAGGCAATGAAAGTTATGCCTTACTGGATCTTTATCAAAACACAGCACTTTATTAAATCAATTTAGTAATACACTATTTTTATTGTCTTCAATTAATGTAAATTATATAATTGTATATAATTATGCAAGAATATTGTAGATTAATTGTAGATTAATTGTAGATTAATTGTAGTTTTTTTTTTGCTATTGGATCGTCCAATAGAATAAAATTTTTTTTACGTTCCAAAGCGCATTGGACTGTCATAAATTAATAAGGAATTAGCTGCTAAAATATTGTGATAAATTTAAGGAATAAGTGAGTGTGACACGTGATCGATAAGTCAACATGATTCGAAATATGTACGATAATGAAGAATATAAGAAAGTAATCATTAAATCAGGCAAAATGTACAATAAAATTGGGAATATATCCGAAAGATTTCATGACAATCAAAAGCTTTACGTGCTGATTAATTCGCTAGAACAAGGACCTTTTGTCACAATTGCCAATAAGGTTGATTTAAATACTTCTTTTCATATAAAAGATTTCCTTAATATGTATGGAATCAAAAATGAAGGAAATGTAGTACTTAGTAAAGTCATCAGTGGAGGAAGATATGATTACGTCGTAGATTTTGCGCCTGATGTGATTGCTGTTAAGGAAGAAATAAAGGTAAAGGATATTCAAGGAAGTATGATCGACATGACAAGTGAGGGATTTGTCAAAAGACAAAAAGCTGATGTTACCGATCGCTACAATATCAACGATACAGTTGTTGCTAGATACAAAAATTTCAAATTGACACACTTTGATTACACACAGCTCGGACCAAACAAGTGGATGACAGCAATTTCAGTTGACGTAGCTCTCAGTTATTTCTTAAAATCATATTTTTTGGACGAGAAGTATCGTGAATCGATTCACTTATTTACCACTGAAATGTACAACAATCATAATCGACTTTACGAATTGTATGGATTGAATGCAGTACCTCATGATGATTTTCTCACTGTACTTAACAATCATACAAAAGGAATTTCAATTTTGGATAAAAAAAATATATTTATCCCCATCAACCAGAGAAGCCATTATCAACTTATTCATGCCACTTTTCCAGAAGCTAACATGTAAATATGTTCTCTTTTACTAAATTAATTTGTCTAATTTTCTTATTTTCTCGTGCGTACTCATAGTGTTCACCTTGCTTATATCGATCCATTATTTCATGAACCACCTAAAAATGCTTTGGAAGTTATGAAGTTATTTTTTAATCGACAAAATGAATTGAGAGAAAAGCCGTTGCAAAACCTAAAATTTATTTTAGAGGTCATAGAAGTACCTCCACAGACAGACGGTGATTGCGGACCTTTCATGTTAGGCTTCTTTAAGCAACTGCTGATTCATAAACAAATTAAAAGCTTCACAGGAAAAGATGCTTTAGAATTACGTAAAACCGTTGCTGGAATTGTAGTAAATCATGCCGTTAAGAATGCTCAATTCCCAGATATTTTCTATACTTAAAACTGAAATTTTTATTTGAGTTTATAAATCATCATACATATTATGTTACTTTCTTTAAATATTTTTTATTTTTTATTTTTTATACTTATATTTTTTTTTGTGAAATATTTTCCTGGTGAATGGAGCTTTATGACCGATAATGAACAGAGACCTTTATACGTAATTAAATTAGGGACGATGGATGTTAAAGGATTATTGAAATCAATTGGAGAGGATGGATTGTTGAAATTAACTTTATATATTTGCGAACAAGGCCTAAAGAAGATGGAGGAATTGACAAAGAAACACGGGAAGCCTATTTGGCAATGGTGCCTACTAGTTGATTGTATGAATTTATCAATGAGACACATGTGGAGGCCAGGTATGTCAAAAATAAATTATTTCGTGATCTATTAACATTTATTTCTTTAAAACGTCAAATTAAGGGTTGGCAACATTTTTACGCATTATTGAGGTGGTGGAGAAAAACTATCCAGAAACAATGGGAAGGGTTTTAATAGTGCGTGCGCCACGAGTATTTCCAATTTTATGGACAATCGTATCAGCCTTTATTGACGAGAATACACGAAATAAATTTTTATTCTTTGAAGACACGGAACATGGGTTGGATCATTTCATTCCAGAAATGTCAAGTGACTTTCTGACAGCTTCTGATAAGGTAATTTCCTGCATTTATATCCTACTACTTGATATGAAATAGAATTGTCACTTGTCATTCCATTTTTATATAAAGTTTTCAATGCAGCACAATCATATCAGTTCTAGACATAACTAGAATAAATCAAAAATTGCAAGCGAGCATGCCTTGATACAAAAACTTGTAGTCTTTTTTTGCAACAAAGCGGTACTTCTAGAAGTTTGTTCATTACAAGAATTTCTTTTACCTTAGCATAGTCCCAAAAGAGGAAAAATAGAACGTACCGAGGAAACGCTTGTCAATTCTCAATATTCATCAATCATGCTGCTTTTCTTGCTTCGTTTTCTTTCATTTTTTCAATATTCCAATTTTTAACATAAAGTTATAGAAAATAACTTTTGTTTGCAGTTTGTCTGTCTGACAGTTAAGTTTGCATAGTTTTCAAAATTTTATTAACCGTTATTAATTCAAAAGTTTTTTGACTGTTAATTTTCAAAACTGAATTTCACATTCCATGCAGGCAATGTGCGTGTCTATCAACCACAAATGATAGCTTTTAAACTAGTCCACTTCTTCTTTAAACGAATAAACTTTTCTTCCTCACTTGAACGTCTGCAACATTTTATCGAGCTTTCATTATTTCTATCGAGTAGCAAATATAGTGTAGAGTATGGATAAACTTAAGGCTAATGTAATTTTTATTCATTCTAGACGTTGATCCATAATGGTGGCGTTATTCCCAAGCAACTTTATAAAATGGATTCAATTGATGAACCGGATCATGGTAATATTGATAGAGAATCAGATGGCAGTGACTTGACAAAAACGAAAATTAAATTGAATGAGCATAGTATATATCAAAATGTGAAGCTACAGCCTGGACAATATTATGAGATTGTCATAAAAAATGACGATAATCGAGCCGTGCTTACTTGGGATTACGAGTCTTTGAAATCTGAGATGTTATTTACCATTTATGAGACAACAGATGCTGACATCAATGATTTCACAAATGGTAAGGAATTGGAATTTATCCTTTTTTGAATATTTCATTATTCAGTTAATGATAGCTATAAATAATTTAGTTTATTGAACTAGCTGCGACTAATCTCTTTGTAATTTAAATACAGATGACGATTTCACATCAATTTTCGACGCAGCTGGAATGAAGGAAAACGTCAATTACAAGATAAAGGAACGAACAATAACAAGTCGAGCAAAAGAGTCAATTCAAGGTTCAATTGAAATGGAGAAAGCAACGTATGTGATGCAATTTACAAATCCAACAACATCAGATATGTCTACGCGACTTTTGTACTTTTATGAAATATTAAGTTCGGCTAATTATCGTGGATCGATGACAAGTCTACAATCGGGACTTTCGGCTATTAGTCTACATTCCAGATGATCCAAAAATAATGTCCTCAAATCACACAGCTCGAATGATGAAAACACAAACTAATTTGTACATGAAATTTTAAATTAATTTATTTTTGGAAACTCCTCTAATGCGCCCCAGTCAAAAAAGCTTTTTTAAATCAATCTGACTAGTACTAAGGATATAACGTTTCAAATTTTATCGCTATTGACAGCAACTTTATGAGGCAAAATATTTTACCAAAAACAAACAAAACATTCTTTTGCTCACAAATGTACTATTTAAGCTGATGACTATGGACAGAGCCAGGCTTTCGTACCTTACTGGAATTTTAAAAATCTCTTTAGTTAAATTATTGATGTATTGATAGCCTATACTAGTATAGAGTTCCAAATATGAACAAAAAAGTAGAAAAAGTTAAAATTCAGCTGGAACTTAAACTAAAATAGCACTAAATTCATTTTGAATCTAAAGCATGTCGTATCGGCTTTGTCCAAAGTTCTTAGTTGTTATGCTTTAAGAGAAATTTATGTAGGGAACTAGAAGATTTATAGTGCATAGAAAAAAATATTTTTTGTTTATTGTGATTAATCTCAAACCAAAAAAACTGTTATATAAATAAAACTTTAGCCAAATTTCATAAACTTTTCTCAAATTAGAAAAAAAAAATCTATAAATTATTTTATGTAAGAGAGGAAAAAATTATTATAACAATAAAGGGAAATATTATGACTTGATAGAAATAGAATAAACTTTGTTTATAATCATCTGTGCAATAACAAGGCTTTCAGATGTTTGTGGCGCTTCATGACACGTGAGTTTTGTAAAACGTGTGATTATTTTTATAAAACATACAGGAATGTAGCAACTTAAAATTTAAAATCATTAAAAAATAACGGTCAAAAAATATTTGAAAAAATAACAGTCAAAAAATATTTGAAAAATGTTAAAAAAGAGAAGGATGGCCATCATATGTTAACGTCCCCTAATATCCAAAGAAAAGCAGGCAGCTATCCAATCAAGGTAAAATACCACATAAAAATCAAATAGAATAGGCCATAAAAAAATTCTACTCATTGGGACACAAAAAAAAGTTTAATAAAATTTCTACGGAATCACTTCCAAACAATCATGTTGCCCACCATTGAACGTCATATAAGTTGTTTTCGTCACATACCCATAAATAATAGCGTTACATGTGTTTTCAATTGTACAGTCGTGCTAATAAATTCTCCTTTAATTTTCTTTTATGAGCTTAAGCCCGCCTATTCATTCTTTATTTTCCACCATAAGAATAGCAATCGCACGTGATTTGAACTTAAATTGTTCTGTACACCCAATTCTGAAATTTTTGTCAATAAATTACGATTTTTCATATGGTGACAATAATTAAATAATGATAAGTTTTGTAACTGGAATATTAATGATGATAAAAAATAGTGAGGCACATCTCACTTACCGTCGCTTAGATAAAGGGTCGATTACTAGTGATGTCTAGGGACTTTAAGCCCCCCCCCCCCCCCTTGCATGACATTTTATCATGGAAGATGGTCTGATTTCATGAATGCCGTCATTTATGGATCTACCCCAACCCGCAATAAATTTTGTTTGTTTGAACAACAATTGGGCGGTAAATATTTTGACATATTTTCCTAGAATTTCCTCAATTATGGCTTAACAATACTCGAGGCACACATTGTTCAATTCATGAATGGAATATGCAATCACCATGCGATTCTATTAAAGTGAGCTTCAATATTCGAATGACTTGTTTATTGAAGCTTATTTACTTGCTTTGAATCAAGCTTTATTATCTTGAGAGACAAACAAAAGAGCTTTTTGAGAACTTCCTCTCTTTTTCCACATTCCAGGCTCTCTTTTTTGTAAGTACGATTTAAATTTAATCGCTGGATTTAAAAGTTGTGTAATAAGAACTTTATGAGTCAATTTCAATTACATTAAAGGCTTAATTGTAGTCAGGATTGCATCAATAATTAATTCTGTTGATGCTTAATCCCCAAAACTGTTTTCAATTCAATTACATCCTTTAATTCCATTATTACATCCTTAAATTCTGCGAACCCTTTCCGTATTTTTGCAATTTATTGAAATGTTCCGTACCGAAAAATTGAATGTAAACTCACCTTAAGCAGTTAATCCATCCCTCTTCACTAAATTCCACATCCCCTTCCTTTAATAAAATGTTACAGGTAAGTTTATTTAATTGAGCGGATATAAATTCTATTACTTTCACATAATTCCATTTCCATCCATCCTCTTGCGTTCTTCTACGTATTATTGCAATATTGTTGACATTTTCCTATTATTACGACACAATACAGCACAGAAAAGAAAACAATTCCCATTAGAGGCTTTTCTCTATTTAATATTCATTACAGTGAAACTTCTCTCTTATTGAATTTTTCTCAATGATTGCTGTGATGCCAGAGTTGAAAAATGGATGAGGGGGGGGGGGGGGGGTTTGAATACACTTGGAGAATTTGACCTTGATGTTTAACTCAGGTCCTGTGTTCAATCCAAGGCAATGTCTAATTTTCGAAGCTCTTTTTCCATTTTCACCGTTCTAGTTACGAAGCTCGGCTCGTGTGCTGGGTGTAGTTTTGAGGTCTTTGGCACAGAATATGCCTCCTTTGCTAGGTATACAAGGATATACTAGCATCTGGATGACTTTCTTACGGCATTTTGCGCACACGAATTGTGACTAGGTTCATTACAGGGTACATCAGGTCTTTGCAATGTGCAGAGCTTGCAAGTGGTTCGGATCCCACTATAAACTGTAGGTCTAAAGGGTGTGGTACAATAGATTCTGTTCTAATTTGAATCGCAGTGCCTCCCCCTTCACACATTATTATTATTAACTCAGTATGATGTCTTTTGCTTGTTCGAATGATTGAATAATGATGTAAAAGTATGAGCAAAGCATTTAGCACAGCTTTCTCTCAATAAAATAGATTTTGTGGTCCAACAATTGTGATTGTTTAACTTTCAAATTTCCAAATTGATTTTAAACAAAACGCGCAAAAATTTGAGAATTTTAACTAGCAAGGAATTAGTGATTGCAACCCATCCAAGATATTTATGGATCAGAGTTTATTTATTTCCCCATTAATTTCGTGTCAAACCATTGCGTATGCAATTAATTTTTTTGTTGGCCGAGATTCAATTATTGTTTGCACCAAAAGGTAGCACCGAAGGTTAAATGATGTGTATGTTATTGTAATGGATGGGATTTGTGGTATCGGAGAATTCAATTATTAATATTCCACAACCTTTTGTAATTACATTTCATTCCTACTTCTTATTCTTGGACAAATTCTTTACCTTTCAATTCACACTTAATGGTCAAGAAGGAAGAAAAAAAGGTAAATTGCTAGCACATGCAGAATCATGACCAGGAAATTAAAAATCAAAACGTGACCAGGTGAGGAAGGAAGAATGAAGAAAAATTGAGTAACATAAATTGAATTTCGTTGTGTAGCACTGCTGAAATGGTTTATTTATTTTCAATTTCCTGGTCTCTTCGTACACGACGTAGCTTCATCGGCTCTCATAAATAAACATGAATTTTATTAATAACTTCTGCCGCATTTTCAACAGAATCAATTTTCTTTTTTGATGGGATAGCAACAGGCTTTGTACATGGACTCAAAAGACTGTCTCATAGAGGATTCTGCCATATTTATAAAACTTAACTGGATGTTCAAATTCCCAACTTGTTTCGATTCCATTGCGAAGATAAATAAAACAAAAGCTTCACACTTATCATGATCTTCAAAAAGCTCATTTTTCATGAAATATAAATAAGCTTAAATGTACAAAAGCGACTCCAAATAACAAGCATCAATTATTTCGTAAGTAATAAATTCTTTATTAAATTTCTAAGTGGAAATTCCATCAATTCCTCTCGCTAAAACTAATAACATTATGAAAGTCCATTACTTCCTATTATTATTGTATCTATAGACACCAACCAATGTCATGACAGTGATTAGCAATATCTAATTTTGATGTCGCAACAAGATCAATGCTAAGTGAATTGGAAACTCAATGAACTGCTCGATAATTAGATGTCGCATGAATAAGATCGACAATATAATAACAATGCTATTATAGGCACTATGGATGGAAGAAACTTTGTCGAGGTCGATTAATCATAAAACTTTATTAGCTTAATTTAGTATTGTGTTCTTACAGAAAAGGGGGGATGATGCAATAGCTGACAATATCTATAAAGCGGATATTCATGAGGATTGTAATCAAAATGTCAAGGCCAATTGACATGGGAAATTCAGATTGCCCCAGCTGATCTCACCCATACAGAAAGTCAAATATCATGAGAATTAAATTCGATATTGAATGAGGCAAAAGTAAAGTTCAGATGCCATACCAGAGATTTGAGGAGGCTATAGAAACAAAGAGTCTAATAAGAATCTCCATCATCAGACAAACTGAAAATCAATACTAATTTTTGCGACAAAAAAAAATTGGGCAATTTAGATTCGAGGAACTAACGCAGAGCAGAAGAGACGCTGGATCATTAATAATTGATTTTCATTTTGAAGTTTTTATGCTTCTTCAAACATTTATTACAACATTATTCGACACAACGATGACAAATCAGATTTTAATAATTGAGGAAAGAAAGATGAAAAGAAGAGGAGAAAAAATTACGAAGGAACGGCGGGTGGCAAGGAAATTTGAAAGGAAACGAGCAGAAAAACTGTTTATTCAATTCGAGTAATATTGTCGAAGCTCTTCAATTTAATTCCAAACGGAAATGAAAGACGAACGCTAAGAAAATTTATATATTATATAAGTAAGTAATGACTTGAAAATATGATAAAACAGGAAGGTATGGAGGGAAGTGAGAAGGGAACAAGATTATTTTATTCAATTCAAAGAATTTTCTCGTCTTTGGCCTTCTGTTATCAATGAAGCTTTATTTTTATAAGGATAGGAAATGCATTGCCATTCGTTCCACTTCATTTTTGCTCGTTCTCTAGCTAGTG